ACCTCAGTACTATTGACTAAAGATAGAGTGTCAGAAGAGAATTTTTATTATGGCACTGAGTTTATGGGATTACATATATTCCTTATGTTAATTTGGCTTTCCATAAATTAATCTTTTAAGACAACATTCACATCTAAGAAATGGTGTACATTCATGGTTTAAAACAAATTCGCAAAGCTAAAAGTTTTCACATATAGTTTACCTGTTTATATAAAGTTATATGTCCAATTTGTAAGTTTAAAAACTAAGATTTTAAGACTATTAGAGTTGTTAGGAATTTACTTTGTACTAGTGATTTGAAAAATAATTTTCTGGATAATGAATTTCCATACTAAAGCATCAGTCACCACCAATTCCTTATTAAGTTAATTCTCTTTAGTAACTTTGGTGCTAAAGTGGTAGCTATCTGAACCCAAAATAAATTTGTGAAGAGTAATTTATTCATTCCAAAAAGAAATTTTCTTACATTGCTGGAAAAGAATATTGTAGTATCTACTAATCTTATTCCCATACTTTATGAAGGGTGATTATTTAGAGAGTTTTAAAAGAAATTAACAGAACATTTAAAAGTGTGTTCTTTGTTGTTTTTAAATAGGCAAATGAATCTAACCTGACATCTTTTTTCCCCTTGCTAGAAATATTGAGCTGAATGAATGACATTCCAAAAATATAATGAATAGTACATATTTTGAATGAAAACTCAAAATTTTCTAGTTTTTAATATCTTGTCCGGAGAGTGTATCCACTACTGAAAAATCCTGCAGTTGAATTATTAACATTTTCGCCTTTACTCTTCAAAGTAAAGCTGAAATCAGAAATTGGAATCATATTCAGCAAATGTAATTTCTGGTGGGTAATTTTTTGTTTCTTTTTAAAGCTATTCACCGTGCTGTTCTGGATTTTGGATGGCTAAAATTTGAGCATACAGAATTCCCATGTTTCCTGACTACCCTGTTCATTTGTGGTTATGTCTACAATGGCATTATTTGTCTTTTTCTGTTTTTCTTTTTCTTTTATAAGAGAGGCCCAGGCAGATCTCAAACTCCTGGGCTCAAGCAATCCACCTGCTTCAGCCTCCCAAAGTGCTGGGATTACAGTCATGAGCCACCACTCCCGACCTTATTCATCTTTTTTTAAATACATATTTCTGAAATTATATTCTATGGCTGATTACTGTTATCTTTACAACTCATCTTATTTGGGTTTTCAGAAAGTTTCAAAAGATTAAAGTTTTCCCAACTAACAAGGTAAGTTGCCATGAACTAAACGTGTCCCCCTCAAAATTCATATGTTCAAATCCTAATCCCCAGTGTGATGGTATTAGAAGATGGGGCCTTTGGTATATGATTAGGTCATGAAAGTGGAGCCCTCACGAATGGGATTAGTGCCCTTATAAAAGGGACCCCAGAGAGCGCTCACCCTTTTTCCATGTGAGGATACAATGAGAAGTCAGTCTGCAACCTGGTTAGAGAGCCTCACCAGAACCTAACCATACTAGCACCTTGATCTCAGACTTCCAGCCTCCAGAACTGTGAGAAATTTCTGTTGTTTATAAGCCACTCAGTCTATGGTACATTGTTATAGTAGCCTATATTGACTAAGATAGAGTAGATTTGTTTTGATTCTTCCTTCCATCTGTTCTCCAAACTCTTAAAATAAGTTACTCCCTTCATGCCATACCCACATCACTTGCTTGTATACCCTGCAGATATTTTATATATACCTGCCTGGCATCAGTTTGTGCTGAATTTGTAAATTTTGAATGTGTCTATTTTAGATTTTAAGCAGAACATTATGGCACACATCTTAATAACTTCTTTATAGTTACAATATTCTGGTTAAATTCCTTATGGCATTCATCCATTGTTAGTGAGCAACTAAGATGCTGAAGTAGAAGGACCGAACCTAGAATGACACAATGTTAGATCTGTGATGAACCTTAGAGATACAGTCTAGACTCATAAAGTGAAAAACATATAAAAATAATTGTGTCTGGGTGTGGGGGCTCACTCCTATAATCCCAGCTCTTTGGGAGGCCAAGGCAGGAGGATTGCCTGAGGCCAGCCTGGGCAACATAGTGAGATCCCAACTATACAAAAATTTAAAATAAAATTAGCCAGGCATGGTGGTGTGTGCCTGTAGTCCCACCTACTTGGGAGGCTGAGGTGAGAGGATTGCTTGAGCTCAGGAGTTCAAGGCTGCAGTGAGCTATTATTGATCGTGCCACCGCACTTCAGCCTGGGCAGACAGAGTGAGATCCTGTCTCTAATAATAATAATAATAATAAAATAATAATAATTGTATATGGTATGTAGTTTTTACTTTCATGGTTGTAAATTGTGTAGTATAAAATTTCATTGGCACAACACTTTGATTCATGAATATTTTTACTTAGGAAAAAATTAACTTTTTTTTTTTGAGACAGAGTCTCACTCTGTCCTCCAGGCTGGAGTGCAGTGGTGTGATCTCGGCTCACTGCAAGCTCTGCCTCCCAGGTTCATGCCATTCTCCTGCCTCAGCCTCCTGAGTAGCTGGGACTACAGGTGCCCGCCACCACGCCTGGCTAATTTAGGAAAAAATCAACTTTGTAAGAAAAACAAATTGCTGAAAAATATGAAGTAAATAATAGTCATACATGGATATGGAAAACATTGGGTAGATGATACATGAGTGACTGAAATTGGAGAATATAGAATTCCAGATTAAACTTATTTATATTTGAGAAAAATGATCTTCTAACATCTTAGTCAAATGCTTTTTAAGGTAGAATGAACATGACAAACTCCCAACCACTCTTCAAAGAATTTTCTTTAAAGTTAAAATGTGCCCTGTGTTTTTCATTGAATGTTATACCAAACACTTAAGAGAAAATAACATATTAAAAAATAAAGGACAAAAGCATATGACTCTGATTTGTAATCCCTGTTCAGTAGCTATAAATTGTGTGACTATGATCACGAACAGTAGATGTAATGTTACTAAGTTTTTCTTAAATAGTCCATGGGTTCTGCAACTCCTTAAAACAAGCTTGTCCAACCCATGGCACAACACAAATTTGTAAACTTTCTTAAAACGTTGTGAGATTTATTTGCAATTTTTTGTTTTGTTTTGAAGCTCATCAGCTATCGTTAGTGTATTTTATGTGTGACACAAGACAATACTACTTCCAGTGTGACCCAGGGAAGCCAAAAGATTGGACTCCCCCTTCCTTAAAAAAAAATTTTTTTTTTTTTTGACCTTAAAAACTTCTATTTTACGGGTTGGGCGCAGTGGCTCATGCCTGTAATTCCAGCACTTTGGGAGGCCGAGGCAGGTGGATCACCTGAGGTCAGGAGTTTGAGACCAGCCCGGCCAACACGGTGAAACCCTGTCTCTACAAAAATAGAAAAATTAGCCAAGCATTGGTGGTGGATGCCTGTAATCCCAGCTACCCGGGAGGCTGAGGCAGGAGAATCACTTGAATCTGGGAAGTGGGGGTTGCAGTGAGCCGAGATCGCGCCATTGCACTCCAGCCTGGGTGACTGAGCGGGATTCCTCAAAAAAAAAAAAAAAAACTATTTTACTATGTTTCTATTTAACCAACAGCAGCTATGGTATATCTACCAGCAAGCCAAGTGCTCAGGGATACAAAGATAAACTATGGTTCTTGACCTCAAAGAGATTTACCATATAATGCAGGAAACTGTCACCTTTCTGAACTACAAATTCGTTAAATATCAAATTGACTTTCATGTATCTAAGTATTTGCTTTATGTATAACGCTACCTACCATACACATTTTTGTAAGTTTTTTATATACTTGTGATTCAGTACTTCCAAAATATATGCAGAATGACTAAAGTTTATACTCCCATCAGCAAGATCATGTTTCCTCACAGGCTTACCAGCAATATCATACAATTTTTAAATTTCCTGTAAATCTTAAGGGTATAAAGTAGTACATTATTATTGTTTAAATTTGCATAATCTGATTACTAACAAAGTTGAGACTATTTTAATATGCTTATTAGTCATTTTCACTTTCATTTTGTGAAATGCTTCTCCCTATGTCTGCTTTTCTGTTGGGTTTTCTGCTCTATTTTCTGAAGTTCTTTTTATTTATTTATTTATTTATTGAGACGGAGTCTCACTCTGTCGTCCAGGCTGCAGCGCAGTGACACAATCTCGGCTCACTGCAAGCTCCGCCTCCCGGGTTCACGCCATTCTCCTGCCTCAGCCTTCCAGGTAGCTGGGACAATAGGCGCCCGCCACCATGCTCAGCTAATTTTTTATGTTTTTAGTAGAGACGGCGTTTCACCGTGTTAGCCAGGATGGTCTCGATATCCTGACCTTGTGATCCGCCCGCCTCGGCCTCCCAAAGTGCTGGGATTACAGGCGTGAGCCACCCCGCCGGGCCTGGAAAGCTTTTAAACTCGGAAAGTGATATGATCTGGATTTTTTTTTTTTTTTTCTTTTTTAATTTGGAAACAATGTCACGCTCTGTTGCCCAGGCTGGAGTGCAGTGGCACGATAAATCACAGTTCGCTGCAGCCCCGGGCCAAAACAATCCCCCCACCTAAGCCTCCGAAGTAGCTGGGACCACAGGTGTGTGCCACCACGCATCGCTAGGTTTTTAAATTTTTTAAAAAATTTTTTCATTTTTTTATTTTGTAGAGACGGGGAGGAGGAAGCAGCGGGGTGGGGCTCCCTATGTTGCCCAGGCTAGTCTCGAACTCCTGGTCTTAAGAGATATCCCACCCCTTCGGTCTCCCAAAGCGTCGGGATTACAGGCGTCAGCCACTGCCATCATTGGAAGCTAGCTAAGCCTAGGCTGGGCAGAGACTTGGACACTTTGAGGGGAGAAGGGAGGGTGAGAAGTTGGAAGGGGGAACGGAAAACCACTCTCCTGGTAGCAGTCCCTGTCCACAACAAATCTTGCCTTCTGCCCTTAAGGAAAATGGCGCCTGGCATAATGCGCTTCCGGCCACGGAGCCAAACAGAACAGGGGAGGCAAGAGGCCGGAAGTGACCGCCCTTTGCCACTCCCCCTGCCTCCTCTCCGCCTTTAACTTCTCGGGAAGATGAGGCAGTTTGGGATCAGTGGCCGAGTTTCTGTTGCCGGGTGATAGTTGGAGCAGAGACAGTGAGTGTCGGCTGCCTCGACAGCTAGCACGTTTGCGACGCTCGGAGTGACCTTCGAGCGACTGGGGACAGGGGGCGGGAGTCGTGCATGCAGCGTTCTGTGACGAGGCGCAGCCCGCCGCGGTCCTGTGGGAAAGGAGAGAACGAACCGTCAGGCGAGCGGGGCCGGCGGCCGAGTCGAGCCCACGGGGCCCACGAGGCCGAGCTCGGGGGTGGGAGTGGGGGATCCGGACCTGGACGGGCGCGCGGGGGCTGGGGTGGGCTCTGGCCCCGACCACTGCGCCCGGTGTGGGAAGGCGGGAGGCTTTTACTAAGGCAGGTGTTCACACCGGCCGGACCGGGGCGTTGCCTCCACCCGGCTTTTCCCACGCAGCTCCTTCGCGCGGTCATTTCTGGACTCTCTGGAAGGATCCGCCTTCTTTATGGCCACTGTTCCTTTCCATGTGCACACCAGGATTAGGCCGTGATTGTTTGTCTTTGGTGTCTTTTTCTTGAGAAACCACCTATGCTTTCTTAGACTGATATTCTTTCAAGTTTCTGATACTTTGGCTGGAAGCGTTAATGCCCTCTTTAAGCCTTACCTCCTCATTTGTAGTGATGAACTCCGTCTTTCTAAATGTCAGCCTCACGTTGTGATCTTAGAATTTTATTTTCTCACTCTGCATATCCACCCCCACTCACCTAGAGCTTCAGCTTGAGAAACTTAATGACTTCGTTATTGTTTGTGAACTTGGCTTCCTTTCACTAACCCTATTCCCTGATGTACTTTATAGTCACATGCAGTGACAAACTTAGTCACAATTAGTTTCATCTTCACCAAAGGGAAATTGAGTCGAAATTGCAACCAAAATTTTGGCTAATAGATTTCACTTATTTTAGTGAAATATCATTCAAAAGTCATCTCTAATTGTCTGACTAGAACACTCCCAAAAAAGAATTACCTAAAAACATTTTGCCAGCATAATTTATCTCACTGGGGAGTTGATGACTGTCACTGGGTGTGTCATTAGTTTACATATCTATCATCCACTTTACTTTGTGCTTTTCTAACTTTATCTCCCCCTAGTAGCATAATGGCAGAAACTGTTTCTCCACTGAAGCACTTTGTGCTGGCTAAGAAGGCGATTACTGCAATCTTTGACCAGTTACTGGAGTTTGTTACTGAAGGATCACATTTTGTTGAAGGTTAGTTCTTAAGTTCTTAAAGTAATTACTGTTGAAAATATATAAAAGTGCGTATTCTTTCAACATTAGTTATTGAACACATATAGGGCATTGTACTGTATACAATGAGAAGTACCATAACGAGTAAAACCCATTTCTACCCTCCAGAAGGGGAAAATTAAATGGTATTAATAACAACTTTAGTATATTAATAGCTCATTTAATTTTTATCACCACTAGGTGATGAAATAGCTATATTAATAGTTCATTTAATTTTCATCACCACCATCTTTCATTTTAAAGATGAAGAAACTAAATCAAAGAAAAGTTAAACAGCTTGCCCAAGGTCACACAGCTAATAAATGCCCAGACAAAAAAATCAGGCAGTCCACATTTAACCATTATACTTGTCTCCTCCCCAACTTAGCAGTTAAACCAAGACCTCAGGCATATCTCATTCTCTCAAATGAGGCTGAGTTGCAGTGGAAAGGGGCAAAAGGCATTTCATAACTGTTGAAACAATGGTGATGAGGAATGTCTTACTAGGGAGTACTTTTTTTTTTTTTGAGACAAAGTCTTGCTTTCTTGCCCAGGCTGGAGTGCAGTGCCGTGATCTCGGTTCATTGCAGCCTCCACCTCCTGGGTTCAAGCGATTCTTCTCCCTCAGCCTCCAGACTAAATGGGACTACAGGCACGTGCCTGAGCAACATGGTGAAACCCTGTCTTTACTAAAAATACAAAAATTAGCTCGGCATGGTGGTGGAAGCCTGTAATCCTAGCTACTCAGGAGGCTGGAGGAGGGAGAATCGTTTGAACCTGGGAGGCAGAGGTTGCAGTGAACCGAGGTTGCACACTGCACTCAGCCTGGGCGACAGAGTGAGACTCCATCTCAAAAAAAAAAACAAAAAAACAAAGATTATGTACCTCTCAACTGTGCAATGGAAAGGGAGGGATTCTATAAATTTTTCCAGCAATGCTGGAAACCTTTGATAGATTGGTAGAATCAAACTTTTTTTTTCATGTCTCTCGCAACCCTCTCTTACCAGATTTTGAGCTCCTTTAGGGCAGGAGCCTAGGACTCATGGTATTCCTAGCACCAGACTTGACACAATTCAATGCTGAATGAGAAAAAAAAAAATAGTAGTATAGAATCTTTGTTTCCAATTAGGAAATAATTTGAGCTGGCACAGTTGACTTTTGAAAAATATTTTATTTTCTAAAAAAATTAATAGGAAGTGAAAATGAAGTTAAATGTGTATTGTGCGTGTTGTAGATCATGCATTATGCTAGGCACTAGTGAAATGGCAGCTTTAGAATCTGAATTCAGTTTTACAGGTTTTAGAAACTCAGTAAAAATGTTGCAAAAAGGAGACAAAGCAAATAAATCAGGAAAAACATACAAGAGCAAAAATAAAATGAAAAGCAAAAATAAATGTAACGATACTTAAACAAGTCTGTCCATTATTCACCAAATTGCATATATTTTATTAATGCATTAAAAAAGTATAGTGAGATATGAGAAGCTTAATTGGATGTGCACTGGGTATGTTTTCAGTGGCAGTGTTTGTCTCTAATTAGGATCATTCAGATAGCCAGATGAATCTTTTTTTTGTTTTTGTTTTTTGAGACGACGTCTCTCTCTGTTGCCCAGGTTGGCGTGCAGTGGCATGATCTCGGCTCACTGCAACCTCCGCCTACCAGATTCAAGTGATTTCTAGCTAATTTTTGTATTTTTAGTAGAGATGGTGTTTTACCATTTTGGCCAGGCTGGTCACAAACTCCTTACTTCAAGTGATCTGCCCACTTCGGCCTCCCAAAGTGCTAGGATTATAGGCGTGAGCCCCCATGCCCACATAAATCTTCATGTCTTTACCTTCAAAAAGAGGTGATAAGAATGTAAACATCAGGTTATCTCCTATTCCTGAATTATAAACAAAACTGAAATATTTTTCTACTTTCAAACCCAGGCTTTTTTAACTACCTCCAGCTATAGAGGAGAGGTGAGGGCTGGGATGTGCAGTTAAACCCTAAACCTGATGAGAGTGAGACTGGGATACAATCTGATGAGATCGAGTACATTCAGGGTGGTATGGCTGTAGATGGGACACAACCTGTAATTCTCTTTCTTCTCTGTTAAATGAGCTGTTTCACCTCATCCCTGAGGGAAGCTGATAGAACGTGGTAAAGTAGCAAGGTCTTTCCTAGCTTGGAGACCTTGAACCACATCTTAATTTCTGAGGGGCTCCTATTAAACCTCATTTTTTTCTCAGTATGTGGCTCCCCCTTCTGAGTTCAAGATCTGAAGATCCATCCTGTCAGGTTGGAACAATAATAGGTCAGTGTTAGGTTCTAGTTTCTCTGTTTAGAAATGTAATCTTGTCTCAGGGGTAGCTTGTATGTTTGAGACCTAGAAGTACACTTTTGACTGTGCCCTTGCAACATTTAATATTCTTGAAATTCTTTCAGGCGGGATTCTTATGACCCATTGCCACGGAGTATGCACCTTTTACCAAACATTCAGATGCTGTGGGTGGCACGTTAACATAAAGCCAAAATACATACAATCTAAGGTATTCCATTATATAACTAACTTAATATTCATTTATATCACTTTTCTGATGCCATTTCAATTTCACAGCAACATACAAGAATCCAGAACTTGATCGAATAGCCACTGAGAATGATCTGGTAGAAATGCAGGGATATAAAGACAAGCTTTCCATCATTGGTGAGGTGCTGTCTCGGAGACACATGAAGGTGGCGTTTTTTGGCAGGTAATTATTTATTATTCTAAGGTTAGTTTCCAGAAATCAGCTTTGTGTCTGATGTTTCAGCAAGTAATATTTCTCCCATCCTCCCCCAGCCCCGCAAGTTTCTGCCTGTGTTGAACATTAAAGCTGTTAGCATGTGAAAGAATTTGTACATTTTACCTCCTGGTATAAAATGAAGCTTTATGAAAGTCAGTCATATTTTTACCTTTTCATGATGCTCATCTCTAAGAATTGGCTCTTAGCCAGTTTTAAGAATGGAAATACAGGTAAATGATAAGCATAATTTGTGATTTACTCTTTTAAGTTTACTTGATTATGTGAAAGTTTCAGAAGCTAGGATGATATAACTTTTGTCAGACCTAGACAGGCCTAGAAGGAAAGAGGCTCTTGCTTACGTGTCTGAGATAACTGTTTCCAAGGACTTTCTAGAAATTCTTTCAAATCTCCTGCTTTGATAAGACTTATCAATAAACGTACTTTAGGACTGCATTAATTCAGATAAAATGTTCTGAGGAGAGTTCTTGTCCAGTAATGGCGTCTCCACCAATGAACTGACAATAGCTGGCATTGAACCTCTGGAACCAAAGAACTCTGTTTCTAGGCAGCTTATGTAAATCTCTTTTTGCTGATAAAAGAAACTCCTCTTATCCTCACTGAATGCACTGGTATGCCATTCCATGCATTCCAGATTATAATCCTTATTTTTGATTCCCAAGTAAACTCAGCATTTTTTTTTTTTTTTTTTTTTTTTTTTCTGACATGGAGTCTCGCTCTGTCACCCAGGCTGGAGTGCAATGGCACAATCTTGGCTCGCTGCAACCTCCACATCCCGGGTTCAAGCGATTCTCCTGCCTCAGCTTCCCGAGTAGCTGGGATTACAGGCGTGCGCCACCATACCTGGCTAATTTTTGTATTTTTAGTAGAGATAGGGTTTCACTGTGTTGGCCAGGCTAGTCTTGAACTCCTGACCTCAGGTGATCCACCCGCCTTGGCCTCACAAAGTGTTGGAATTGCAGGCGTGAGCCACTGCACCTGGCCTAATTTTTTTGTTTTTTTTTTTTGAGGCAGAGTCTCACTCTTGCCAGGTTGGAGTGCAGTGGCACCATCTCGGCTCACTGCAACCTCTGCCTCCTGGGTTCAAGCTGTTCTTCTGTCTCAGCCTCCCAAGTAGCTAGGACTACGGGCGCACACTGCCACACCTGGCTAATTTTTTTTTTTTTTGTATTTTAGTAGAGATGGGGTTTTACCATGTTGCCCAGGCTGGTCTCGAACTCCTGAGCTCAGGCTATCCACCCACCTCAGCCTCCCAAAGTGCTAGGATTACAGACGTGAGCCACTGTGCCTGGCCCTGGCCTAATTTTTATATTTTTATTAGAGATGGGGTTTCACCATGTTGGCCAGGCTGGTCTCAAACTCCTGACCTCAAGTGAACCACTCTCCTCGGCCTCCCAAAGTGCTGGGATTATAGGTGTGAGCCACTGTGCCTGGCTAATTTAGAGGTGATTTTCTTTAGTATCTTTCTTAAGGTTGACAATTATCAGGTTCACAGGTTGTAAGGATTATGGGGGGAAGAAAAGGGCAGTGATCAGGTATGTCTTCCAGAATTTTCAACTCCATCATTCCCAGAGGGAGAGTAGGAGGCACCATTACGTTGGTGTCACTATCCAGAGTGATAGTGTGATCTCTGCCACAGCTTATATGCAAAGACAAATGAGTAGCTCCTTAATTGGTCATTCAGCTATCATGTGCTGTGTACCAACAGAGGCATTTATTTACTAAACTGACTTCGTTGGCCTTCTAAGCTATTTCCCATGTTAGGGCTTTTGCCCTTGTAATTCCCTATGCCTACAACTCTCCTTTCCTTGTTCTATCTATATCTCATGCCTTCTTATTCTTCATATTTCATCTTAAATATTACTACCTTGGATACCTTCTCTGACCAGTCTGTCTAAATTATTCCTTCTCAGTTATTTTCTGTTAAAGCACCCTGTTAATGTCTTTCAACACTTTTCACAATGCTCTTATTTTATGTTTTTATTTTCTGCTTGTCCCATTTGACCATATTCTCAGGGCCTTACACAGAGTCTGGCATGAGACAGCTCCATTTAAAAAGATCCTACTTCAGATTAGGGTGGAGTAGGAAGGAAGAGCCTCCTGGGAAGGTGATGACTCAACTGTCCTACCGAGGATGAGAAATAGGTATAGCTTTGGATGTGAAAAAGGTCCAAAAGCTCATTTCTTGCAGAAAGCCATAAATAGAAAGGGGGAGAGAGACCGCAGTGTGTTTGGAGAACTCAAGTAGTTGAATTTAAGGCGTTATGAAAATAGCAAAAGAAGAGACTTTGTAAGCAAAAGTCAGATTGTAAAAGACCTTATATTAATATTATCATGCTAAGGAGTTCTGCATTCTTTTATTTTGGAAAATAGTCATGAGAGGATTGGATGTTACAATTATAACCTTAGATATAATGGGGAGAATGAATTAAATGAGAACAGGAGGTAGGAGGCAGTTGTAGTATTGTTACCAGAAAGGGGTCCTGATCCTAACCCCAAGAGAGGGTTCTTGGACCTTGTGCAAGAAATAATTCCAGGTGGGTCCATAAAGTGAAAGCAAGTTTATTAAGAAAGTAAAGGAATAAAGAATGGCTGCTGCATAGGCAGATCAGCCCCAAGAGCTGCTGCTTTGCTGTTTTTATGGTTATTTCTTGATTGTATGCCAAACAAAGGGTGGATTATTCATGAGTTTTCCAGGTAAGGGGTGGCAATTCCCAGAACTGAGAGTTGGTACCTGTCCCCCTCTTTTTCTTTTTTTGGGAGATAGTTTTGCTCTTGTCACCCAGGCTGGAACGCAATGGCATGATCTTGGCTCACTGCAACCTCTGTCTCTCAGGTTCAAGCGATTCTCCTGCCTCAGCCTCCCTACTAGTAGCTAGGTTTACAGGAGTGTGCCACCATGCCCAGCTGATTTTTGTATTATTGGTAGAGATGGGTTTCACCATGTTGGCCAGCCTGGTCTCGAACTCCTGACCTCAGGCCATCCACCCACCTCAGCCTCCCAAAGTGCTGGGATTACAGGTGTGAGCCACCATGCCCAGCCGGTACCTCCCCTTTTTAGCCCATATATCCATCCATTCTGGATGTTGCCATGGCATCTAAACTGTTACGGCACTGGTAGGAGAGTCTTTTAGTGTGCTAATGTATTATAATTAGTTTAATGTATATTATATACATATTATATATATATTACAATGAGTAGTGAGGACGACCAGAGGTCACTTTCATCGCCATCTTGGTTTTGGTGGGATTTGGTCACTTCTTTTATCAGCAAGGTCTTTGTGACCTATATATTGTGCCAACCTCCTATCTCATTCTGTGACTTAAAATGCCTAACCTCCTGGGAATGCAGCCCAGTAGGTCTCACCCTCATTTTACTCAGCCTCTATTCAAGATGGAGTTGCTCTGGTTCAAACACCTCTGACAAGTAGTATAGGCCATAAATTGTGTGTGTTTAATACAACTATATATATTCAAGTGTAATTACCAAAAAGGTGGTTGGAAATATGAGACTTGGACTAGGGAGAATTCTAGGAAATTTAGGAATTATTATTGGCTTATGTTGGTGATTGAAATCACAGGAGTTGATGAGATGATCCAGGGAGAGTGTGCAATGAAAAACACTGGGGAGAGGAAGAGGGACTATCCATGGAAATGCCAGCCAGGGGCCAGGCGTGGTGGCTCATGCCTGTAATCCCAACACTTTGGGAGGCCGAGGCAGGTGGATCACCTGAGGTCAGGAGTTTGAGACCAGCCTGGCCAACATGGTGAAACCCTGTCTCTACCAAAAGTAGAAAAATAACTGGATGTGGTGGTACACTCCTGTAATCCCGACTACTTGGGAGGCCTTGGCAGGAGAATCACTTGAACCTAGGAGGCGGAAATTGAGTGAGCTGAGATCATGCCACTGCACACCAGCCTGGGCCACAGAGGGAGACTCCATCTCAAACAAGAAAAAGAAATGCCAGCCAGGTAAAAGGAAAATTAGAAAGCATTGGTATGATATAAAAAGAAATATATTTGATCTTTGTCCCATTCTTGTCACAGAGCTTCTAAAACCATAGGAATTTCCTGAGTGATTGGAGTATCTTGTTTTCATAATGAGCCCTTTTTGATGACACCTGAATTTATGCTAATAAGTGGTTTAGGGTGGGGCGGTGCCTAGATAACCTCAGAGGGTGACCAGTCACCTGAAAATTTAAGTGATCAGGGGATTAGAGGATTGGAACTTTCCTTCCCACCAACCCATTTCCAGGAAGGGTGGGGGAGGACAGGCTGAAAATTAAGCTTTATGAAAACTCTTGAATAAGATTGGACTTCCAGGTAACTAAACTCATGGTTATGCTGGGAGAGTGGCATGCTGAGAGGGCATGAGTGCTCAGGCATCTCATCTGTGTCACTTATAATATCCTTTATAATAAACCAGTAAATGTAAGTATAGTGCTTCCCTGAGTTCTGTGAGCTATTCTGACATTGAACCCAAGGTGGGAGGAGGTAGAAATGAATTGAATAATAGGGCCCCCAGTTGGTGTCTGCTGGAGAACTGCTTCATGCATGTGGAAAAATCCCCATACATCTAGTTAAGAAGTGTTCTGTGTTGATTTCGATAGTAGAGGAGAAAAAGTTTCTTTTTCCACAGTGGTTTTTTTTTGTTTGTTTTGGGAGGCAGGATGACAGCGTGTCTCACACTTTAGTATGCATAAGAATCATCTGAGAGCATCCCCAGAGTTTTGATTCTTTAGGTTCACAGTTCGTTTGAGGGATTTGCATCATTAATGGGCTCCCCAGATGATTCTTATATGGGGTGGGGGAACCCAAACTGTAACCATAGTAGGTTCATCACCCAGTGCATGCAGCAAGTTGATGTGCTGAGACACCAGGTTGCAGCAGAGAAGAGATTTAATCGTAGGGTCACCAAATGAGGAGATGGGAGGGAACCTCAATCCATCTTCCCAAGGAATTTGAGGTTAGGGTTTTTAAGGTTTTTGGAGTGCCCAAAGTATAGAGATCATTGATTGGTTGGAGCTTGCAGAGTGAAGTCATGGTAGAGGGAGATAATAAAGCTAGGCCGTATTCACATGCTGGTCCATCCCATTCCTTTCTGGTGGGGGGGTCTTCAAACTGGTTGCTGGATTTGGGGGCCTGAAAACATCTTAAACTATCCTTAAAAGTGTTATGATTCTAATGTCAGAGATCCTGTCTATAGGAAGAAGGAGGTGCAAATGGTCAGTATCTGGTGTTACGTGACATTTAGCAATAAGGAAGTGGGCCAAAGTGCAGCCTGATTAATAATGAGCTATAGCCATATTTCTGTCCAGAACCCGGCATATAATTCTTGTTAACCCCATGGAGATGGTTTCAGAACTACCCTTGAGGATCACTGCAAGGCTTCATAAAATGTCCAGAAAGATAAATTGTAAGAGAGGTCCTAGGCATCCTTGCAGGATGTGGTATAGTGGCAATGGAAGCCAATATTGAGCTAATGAAGGTAAGCAGCTTCCCTGGGAAGGGAGTTGGGAATGATATCCATAACATAAGAAAAGTTCTTTCCCTCTTCTGCTAAAGAAAAAAGGTAAAACATATGCCAAAAAGATAGAATGCTTTTGCAATGAACCAAAAGGCTCCCAGTGGTATCTGGGACTTGGGTTGACTTAATGGAAAGCAAGTCCCTGAAGTGAGTATGGGTTGTTCTTTGCATTTCAGAGCTATCAAAAGTGTTCTTTTTCCTATGACTGCATAACAGATTACCCAAAACTTAGCAACTTAACCATTTTATTATGTTCACTGATTCTGTGAGTCAAGAATACAGATGGGGCACAGCGGGGATGTCTTGTCTTTGTTCCATGGATTTTGGAGCCTTAACTGAGAAGATGTGCAGATTGGGGTGGCTCAAAAACTGAGGGTTGAAATAATCTTAAATCTTCAATTACACGTCTGGGACCTGGGCTGGAATGATTCAAAGACTAGGACTGTTCAGTAGAGCACTACCCAGAGCTCTCCATTTAGCTTGACTTCCTTGTAGCACAGCAGACTCGGGGTAAGTGGACTTTTTACATGGCAAGACTCCAAGTGCATATATTCCAGGGAACAAGATAGAAGAAGCTGCATTGTCTTTTATGACCTAGTCTTGGAAGTCACCCAGTGTCACTCCTTTTTTTTATTTTGAGACGCAGTCTGGCTCTGTCACCCAGGCTGGAGTGCAGTGGCACGATCTTGGCTCACTGCAACCTCCACCTCCTGGGTTCAAGTGATTCTCCTGCCTCAGCCTCCTGAGTAGCTAGGATTACAGGTGCCCCCCCAACCCCCACACCTGGCTAATTTTTTGTAGAGATGGAGTTTCACCATGTTGGTCAGGCTGGTCTCAAACTCCTGACCTCAAGTGATCCACCCACCTTGACTTCCCAAAGTGCCAGGATTACAGGCGTGAGCCACTGCACCTAGCCACCCAGTGTCACTTCTGATGTGCATTATTTGTTGAAGCAGTCACAAACCAGCCCAGATTTAAGGAGATGGGATATTAGACCCCATCTTGTGATAGTAGTGTTACAGAATTTTGACCTGTGATTTCAAATTGCCACAAAAAGCAAGAAAGAAAAGTTGAGGATAATACTATGAGAAAGGTCAGATTTGTTTTCTTACACTTTATTTTTTCTGAAATGTACATTGATGATATTTGTGTAAGCCAGGTGGTCAATTTTTTTGTAAAAATGCAGTCTTAAGAAATCTTAACAAAATTTGGATTTTAAAAAAGTTGATTAAATTAGACCCAGTGAAAGAACTAATTTTTTTACTGTTATGTTTTGTTTTTCATGATTTTGTATATTCTTCAGGACAAGCAGTGGGAAGAGCTCTGTTATCAATGCAATGCTGTGGGATAAAGTTCTCCCTAGTGGGATTGGCCATATAACCAACTGCTTCCTAAGTGTTGAAGGAACCGATGGAGATAAAGCCTATCTTATGACAGAAGGATCAGATGAAAAAAAGAGTGTGAAGGTATGATCTTTAACCTTTAGCAGCATAATATACCTGAAACAATGTCCTTAACTTATTCTTTAATAACATTTTTATAGATGTCTGCATTGCTGACATCTTATAAAAAGAACTGTAAATATTTCTTTCTTTTCTTTTTTTTTTTGAGAGTGAGTCTTGCTCTGTCGCCCAGGATAGAGTGCAATGGTGCAATCTTGGCTCACTGCAACCTCTGCCTCCCAGGTTCAAATGATTCTCCTGTCTCAACCTCCCAAGTAGCTAGGATTACAGGTGCGTGCCACCATGCCCAGCTAATTTTTGTACCTTTTTTTTTTTTTGATAGAGATGGGGTTTCACCATGTTGGCCAGGCTGGTCTCGAACTCCTGACATCGGGTGATCTATCCGCTTCAGTCTCGCAAAGTGCTAGGATTATAGGAAGAACTTAGTATTTGTAACTTTGAAAGCCATCACTAAATATTTTAAGTACTCTAAATTTTTTTTTTTTTACTTCATAGCTAAATTAGTGGAAGAATAAAACCTGTCCTTAATTTAAAGGTATATTAGAATTACAGGTTTTTTAAATCTCCCCTTACAGTGAGACTAACATTATTTTATTTATTTGTTTTTAGACGGAGTCTTGCTCTGTTGCCCAGGCTGGAGTGCAATGGCACGATCTCAGCTAGCAACCTCTGCCTCCCAGGCTCAAGCAATTATCCTGCCTCAGCCTCCCAAGTAGCTGGGATTACAGGCATGCGCCACCACACCTGGCTAATTTTTGTATTTTCAGTAGAGACAGGGTTTCACCATGTTGCCCAGGCTGGTCTTGAACTCCTGACCTTGGGTGATCCACCTGCCTTGGCTTCCCAAAGTGCTGGGATTACAGGTGTGAGCTGCCACACCCGGCTGAGACTGACATTATTGAAGTGTATCATTGCTGTTTAATCTCAAATTTGTCCCACCTTGGCCTCCCAAAGTGCTGTGGTTACTGGCGTGTGCCACCATACCTGGCCTCAGATTTGTCTTTTTAAAACAGAATTGCTTAAGAAATTGGGCCCTGATATCTGTTTTTGATATGTGTCTGTGTTTTTAGAAACTCTCTTACTTCAGGAGTATGTAGTAAGTATATTCATGAATAAATATTTTAACTTTGTCAGATGAGAGCCAATGGCAATTCCCTGCCTTTCATAAATTTCTCAATTCAGTGCCACTAGACTCCTACAGCCAAAAAAAAGAATAAAAGGAAAAGCAAATTAGAATGCAAGATGTTGACTCTGGACTGAAAGCAGTTAGTTAAGGCACTGTTTCTCATTGCGGTCACTTTGTCTTAAGTCTAAGGATCTCTTCCACAAACACAAAAGTTCAGTGCTTGAAGATCCATGCTATTTCATTTCTTGGTAAAGTCATGGATGGTTCTTGCTCTGTGAATTTGCTCTTTGATGTAAATCAGGTGACTCAGTCTGTAAGTTTTAGAAAAAGCATACCCTTCAGATTAGTTATTAGAAAAGTGAGATGATGTTTATGAAAATACTATTCAAGGCTGGGCACAGTGGCTCACGCTTGCAATCCTAGCACTTGAGGTGGTCGGATTGCTTGAGACCAGCCTGAGCAATATAGTGAGACCCCATCTCTACAGAAAATACAAAAATTAGCCAAGCATGGTGGCGCATACCTGTAGTCTCAGCTACCCGAGTGGCTGAGGTGGGAGGATTGGTTGAATCTGGGAGGTTGAGGCTGTAGTGAGCTGTGATCATTCAGCCTAGGAAATGGAGCAAGACACTGTCTCAAAAAGAAAAGAAAATACTAATCAAGCTTTTAATTCATATAAATGAAGGAATCACTATTATTTTGTAATTAAGATTTTTAGCAAATCAAAATTCAAACTTCTCATGACTTTAGAGCCTCAAAGTATGCCGTGTTACTCTAAAGAAATCATCTCTCATTTTCCTGATCTGTGCTCTTCCAGTCCTCTTCACACTCTTTTTCTCCTCGTCATTTTAGATTCGGAGTTATGTGTACAGGTTTGTTTTTTTTTTTTTAATTTTTATTTTTTTGAGATAGAGTCTCGCTCTGTCGCCCAGGCTGGAGTGCAGTGGCCAGATCTCAGCTCACTGCAAGCTCCGCCTCCCAGGTTTACACCATTCTCCTGCCTCAGCCTCCCGAGTAGCTGGGACTACAGGCACCCGCCACCCCGCCCAGCTAGTTTTTTGTATTTTTTAGTAGAGACGGGGTTTCACTGTGTTAACCAGGATGGTCTCGATCTCCTGACCTCGTGATCTGCCCGTCTCGGCCTCCCAAAGTGCTGGGATTACAGGCTTGAGCCACTGCGCCCAGCCTATGTGTACAGGTTTATTATGTGGATATATTGTGTGATGCATAAGTCTGGCCTTCAAATGAACCTGTCACCCAAATAGTGAATATAGCATTCAGTAGTTTTTCAGCTCTTGTCACCTTCCACCTTTACCCCTGTAGTAGTTCCCAATGTTATTGTTCCCATGTTTATTTCTGTGTGTACCTAGATGTTTAGCTCTCACTTTTTTGTTTGTTTGTTTGTTTTGAGACAGAGTCTCGCTCTGTTGTGTGATCTCAGCTCACTGCAACCTCTACCTCCTGGGTTCAAGCAATTCTCCTGTCTCCGCCTCCCGAGTAGCTGAAATTATAGGCACACGCCACCACGCCCGGCTAATTTTTGTGTTTTTAGTAGAGACAGGGTTTCACGAGGTTGTCCAGGCTGGTCTCAAACTCCTGACCTCAGGTGATCCACCCACCCCGGCCTCCCAAAGTGCTGGGATTACTGGCATGAACCACTGCTCCTGGCCTAGCTCTCACTTTTAAGCGAGAAGATGGCAGTATTTGGTTTTCTGTTTCTGCGTTGATTGACTTAGGATAATGGCCTGTGGCTCCATCCATGTTCCTGCAAGAGACATGATTTCATTCCTTTCTAGGGGGTGTTAAAAGCTATTTAATTTTAACCTATTTTAATAATGACATTTCTTCCATATGACAAAGTGATACACATTTATTTCAGTAGTCAGAAAATACAAGTAGGCAAAAGGAACGAAGACTCCATAACTTATATACTTCACAAAACCAGTATCAGTATCAGGAGTTGCTTAGAATTCTGTTGCTGGAGTTATTTTTGAGGGAACCATATTTTTTTTGTACTTGGAAATTTAAAAATTCAGGTTCTCATGATTGCTCAGAAGGTTTTATTTCAGAGTTTTTATACACCTGTTTGGCTAAAATAAATGTACTACAATGTTGTTAATTTTTATTGAATTTTATTACAAGTGCAGTTTATTTTTTTCTTTTCCTCCTGCTTTAGACAGTTAATCAACTGGCCCATGCCCTTCACATGGACAAAGATTTGAAAGCTGGCTGTCTTGTACATGTGTTTTGGCCAAAAGCAAAATGTGCCCTCTTGAGAGATGACCTGGTGTTAGTAGACAGGTAAAATTACATGTGGATTGCATTTTCTCTGGAAGTTTGTTTAATAGTATAATACTGCTTACTTTAGCATGTGGTATAAAAAATTAAAACATTCAGTTGCCACTTTGTTCTCATTAGCTAGATTAAGGAAGAGATAAGGTATTGGTTTTATTTTATAAGTTACATAAAAGCACCAGTTCATCAGTCTTATTCCGTTTCAAGAAATTTAAAGGATGGCCACTTTTTTTGGCTAGAGTGCAGTGCCATAGTGCCATGATCTTGGCTCACTGCAACCTTCACCTGCCGGGCACAAGCATTTCTCCCACCTCATTCCCCTGGGTAGCTGGGATTACAGACACACACCAGCCACCTCACCTGGCTCCATTTTGTTTTTGATAATGGATTTTCCTTTTAAATGGAAATGAGTGTTTCAAGTAATCCATAGAAACAGAAGAGAGAGAAGATGTTCATGACACCAAAATATTTGGTTTAAATACAATGTTAACTAATTTAGCTTTATTTCATAACCAGGTTGTATCTATGACCCAGTCAGTTAAGATTGACAGTTGGATAGATACAAGAAAAAATGAAAGAGATCTAATATTTGGTACCAAAATGGGTAACTATAGTGAATAATAATTGATTTTTATTTCTATTTTTTTGAGACAGAGTCTCGCTCTATCACCTAAGCTTGAGTACAGTGGCACAGTGTTGGCTCACTGCAACCTCCGCCTCCCAGGTTCAAGCCATTCTTGTGCCTCAGCCTCCAGAGTGGCTACCATGCCTGGCTAATTTTTGTATTTTTTGGTAGAGGTGGGAATTCACCATGTTGGCCAAGCTGGTCTCAAACTCCTGGCCTCAAGCAATCCTCCCATCTTAGCCTCCCAAAGTGCTGAAATTATAGGTGTGAGCTGCCATACCTGGCTGAATAACAATTTAATTGTACATTTAAAAATAACTAAAATAATATAATTGGATTGTTTGTAATACAAAGAATAAATGCTTGAGTTGATAGATACCTCATTTACCATGATGTGATTTTTTTTTTTTTTTTGGAGGCAAGGTCTTGCTGTGTTGCCCAGTCTGGAGTGCAGTGATGGGATCATGGCTTACTGCAACCACCGCTTCCCAGGCTTAAGCAATCCTCCCACCTCAGCCTCCAGAGTAGCAGGGGCTACAGGGGCATGCCACCAAGCCTAGCTAATTTTTTGTATTTTTTTTTTTTTTGTGGAGTCAGGGTTTTGTCCTGTTGCTCAGGCTGGTGTCAATGTCCTGGACTCAAGCACTCGTGTCTTGGAATCCCAAAATGCTAGGATTATATGAATATGCCACTGTGCTCAGCCCCAATGTGATTATTACACATTGTATGCTTCCATCAAAATACTTCATATACCTCATAAATATGTATACCTAATATGTACCCACAAACATTTAAAATGAAAAATTTTTTAAATTTTTTACAAAGATTTGTAGTTGGCAAATTCTTCACTGCAGGTCCTAGTGTAGTTGGTATATTAAATTTATATTTTTTTATTTGTGTTTATAAGGGCTTAAATCTTCTCTGAGCCTTACTGGATATAGCTGCTTTAACCCTTGTTGTTTAGTATCCATTAGCCTAGTTTTATATTTCAGCCATGTAAAGCATAAAGATTAAAAAGATTGAAATATTGAGCATGTTATTTGCTTTGTCAAAGTTCACTGGGTTAAAATTTCCTAGGCTGCTTATAGATGACAGGTGGAAATCCTGTTTTTAGACTTCAAATTATACATAAAAGCTGAAAAAATTCTGTAACCCAAATTTTCTTTTTAAGAAATGTAATACAATTTTTATTTCACTCTGATTAGTCCAGGCACAGATGTTACTACAGAGCTGGATAGCTGGATTGATAAGTTTTGCCTGGATGCTGATGTCTTCGTTTTGGTCGCTAACTCTGAATCTACGCTAATGAATACGGTAGGATTTAATCATATTATTGTGTTTCGGTGGTAGGGAATGAAGCAGTGTCTGTTTTCATTCTGAAAAGAGAAATCCAAATCATGGATTAGAAAGAACTTCTAAAAACAGGCATGAATGAAGGGGTTTGTGTTTTCATAGAACCAGAAGGGCTGTTTCTAGTCTTTCTATAGTGTGTAGTTCCCTGGATTTCTCTAGCAATATAGGGCTTGATGACTCTAGCTTATGGTTATTTGCCAGTCTCAGGGAGAATGAATGCCAGAAATTTTAGGATGCTTACTTACGTCTCTTGAATAAAATATAAACCACTCCTCCTTTCTGCCATCTATCGGACAAGGCTTTTTATATTTTCAGTATTATTAGCTGTTTCCAGCTTCACCTGAATATACTCTAGGTTTCACCTTACCTGTGTACACTTTAAGCTGCTGTCAGACTTAGAAGATTATTTTTCCAAATGTCTGGAGCCAGACTCATCTGAAATAAACTTTCCAGAGTTGAGATAATCTAATATTCAAAACTATAACATGATTTTTAAAAATTGTTATTCATCAGTTTTTTTCATCTTTGAAAGTTTAATGCTCATAGAGTGCTTTGGGATCTTTTGTCAGTGGTGTTAATGTTGTCTAAATGGTTCAGACTTTCTCATTAAAATAAAATTTCAATTGTAAATGTAAATTACAGTGAATGTACTGTGAGTTTTGTTTTTTTTTTTTTTCCAGGAAAAACATTTTTTTCATAAAGTGAATGAGCGGCTTTCCAAGCCTAATATTTTCATTCTCAATAATCGTTGGGATGCCTCTGCATCAGAGCCGGAATATATGGAAGACGTAAGTTATTTTATTTATTTTTTGTAGGTTTTGAAGTACAGTCACATATATTGTTATTTGAGAAAACAATATAGCTTATATAATAGAAAATTATAAGAGCTATTCCATGAAAAGAATATAGTTAGAGAAAACCTGAAGTGGGTATGTGATAAAGACCGAGGTATGAAGTTACTTTGAGGGAAAATTGTGTTATACTATCTAGTTATTTCAAAGATTGAAACTTCTTTTTTGTTTAAGTTTTTATTGAAATGTACATAACAGAAAAGTACATAAATCATAAGTGATCCTTGCAATTTGGCTTCCTAAAGTGCTGGCATGACAGGTGTGAGCCACCATGCCTGGCCAAATTTTACAAATTTAACACACCTGTCTCAAAATCCGGATCAAAAAGCAGACCATTCTGAACACCCCAGAACCTCTCGCTTACCTCCCTCCTTCCAACTTCCATTCTGCCCTCCTTACCAAAGAGAAATTATCCATTTATCTTGACTTCTGACCCCCTAAATTAATTTTTCTGCCTGTTCAACTTTATATAACAGAATCATATAATATCTGCTTTTGGCCGGGCGCGGTGGCTCAAGCCTGTAATCCCAGCACTTTGGGAGGCCGAGACGGGCGGATCACGAGGTCAGGAGATCGAGACCATCCTGGCTAACACGGTGAAACCCCGTCTCTACTAAAAAAATACAAAAAAAACTAGCCGGGCGAGGTGGTGGCGCCTGTAGTCCCAGTTACTCGGGAGGCTGAGGCAGGAGAATGGCGGGAAACCAGGAAGCGGAGCTTGCAGTGAGCCGAGATTGAGCCACTGCACTCCAGCCTGGGCAACAGAGCGAGACTCCGTCTCAAAAAACAAACAAACAAACAAACAAACAAACAAAAAACAAACAAACAAAAAAAAATCTGCTTTTGCATCTGTTTTTTTCATTTAACATGTTTGTCATATGTGTCCATATTGTGCATAGCATAGTTGTATTGCATTCTCATTGCTGTATAGTATTCCATCTGTGACTATACTACAGTTGACTTATTCACGACGATGGGCATTTGGGTTAATTTACTGTATTTAGTTATGAATGCTACTGTACATATGCTTGTATATGTCCTTCTGGTGTGCATATATATGCATTCTTGTTAGGTAGTTTTCAATGTGGAGGTTGGACAGTTTTGACTGCCATGGGATATTTGGCAGCATCTGAAGATATATTTTTTTTTTTTTGTCACAACTGGGGTTTTGTGCTAATGGCATCTAATGAGTGGAGGTTAGAGATGCTGTTACACATGCCCTGACACAGAACGGGCCCCCAAACAAACATTGGCCAATCCAAAATGTCAGTAATGCAGAGGTCAGTAAACCATGGGTATATGTACCTAGAGGTAAAATTGCTAGATTACAAGTTAAGAATATGTTAGATTTTAGTAAACATAGCACCAGAGTTCTCCAAAGTGCTTGGTGTCAATTTGTACTCTTGCCAGCAGATTGAGTTTCATAAGATTTGCATCCTCAACTTTTTTTTTTTTTTTGGCATTTTAGTCACACCAATTGTAGAAACTTAAAAAGATTAAAGTATCTGGAATTTGGACTATAAATAATATTTATTTAATTTGCTTGAGACGATTTCTGATTTTAATGGTAGTATGAAATTATTATATGTAGAGGACAAGATAAAAATAAACTATCCCATCACTCTTCACATGTTAAATTATTTGCTTTCATTTTTCCACCATTGGAATTTTGCGTAACATCATGTTTTATGTCCTCCTGTCATTAACTGTTGTCTTACAGCCATGTTCTTTCAAATTGGGGTTCACATAATCATTGGAGAATTAGGAAGTATCACTCATAAATTATTTTTCCTCAAATATTTCAGCATTCCCATTTAGATTTATTTTTGCAAGTCTTAATATAGAGAACCCTTATCATAGCCATAATGCTGAAGACTAGTACTAAATCCTAACTTCTAACCCGTAATCTTCACCTCAGTGTGCCCAAGTGGTAATCTTGAACCCAACATTGCAATTCTAATGCCTGGTTAATGTATTCGCCCCAACCTTAGCAGGGTTTGTTTGTTTTGGTTTGGTTTTTGAGATGGAGTCTTGCTGTGTCACCCAGGCTGGAGTACAGGGGCACCATCTTGGCTCACTGCAACCTCCACCTCCCGGGCTCAAGCAATTCTCCTGCCTCAGCCTGCCCAGTAGCTGGGATTACAGGCGCCTGCCACCACACCCCGCTAATTTTTGTGTTTTTAGTAGAGACGGTGTTTCACCATGTTGGCCAGGCTGGTCTCAAACTCCTGACCTTGTGATCTGCCCGCCTCGGCCTCCCAAAGTGCTGGGATTACAGGCGTGAGCCACTGTGCCCAGCAGAATTTTAAATAAATGTTCAAAAGACAGAATCATTAAGAGAAAGATTTTCTGTCATTAAGTATCAAACTTCATTTATTAGAATTTTTGAATTCATTAGTTATATGGTAACTTTTGTTATATCACTGTAAATAAAAGTATTGGCCTGTAGTCATTGGTTATTATATTTGTTTAAATTATTAGAATTCTTTTAATACCCTTTTCTCTGTAGGTACGCAGACAGCACATGGAAAGATGCCTGCATTTCTTGGTGGAGGAGCTCAAAGTTGTAAATGCTTTAGAAGCACAGAATCGTATCTTCTTTGTTTCAGCAAAGGAAGTTCTTAGTGCTAGAAAGCAAAAAGCACAGGGGATGCCAGAAAGCGGTATGCATTAGTTATAGATTTCCTTTTTAAATATAAAAATATTTAAAATTGGTCGAGTGCAGTGGCTCACGCCTGTAATCCCAGCACTTTGGAAGGCTGGGGTGGGCGGATCATGAGGTCAGGAGTTTGAGACCAGCCTGGCCAACATGGTGAAACCCCGTCTCTACTAAAAATACAAAAATTAGCCCAGCATAGTGGCGTGCACCTGTAATCCCAGCTACTGGGGAGGCTGAGGCCGAAAAATTGCTTGAACCCAGGAGGCGGAGATTGCAGTGAGCCAACATTGCGCCATTGCACTCCAGCTCTGGCAACAGAGCAAGACTCCGTCTCGGGTGGGGGGGGGTGGAAAACATATATCTATATTTATATGTGTGTATATATATATATAATGGAATATTTTATATATAAAATTATAAAATCAGTAACCTACCAGAAAATATATCTTGCTATATACTAGGTTTTTAAATCTTTGCCTGTACATTACAGGTGGGGCACTTGCTGAAGGATTTCAGGCAAGATTACAGGAATTTCAGAATTTTGAACAAATCTTTGAGGTAGGAATTTTGTGATTGTATTGCCTAATACAAAACTCTTTCCTTGGTTGGAGAAAGCATAATCTTCTGTTTTATCATTTGTCTTTGTCAATAACTTTTGCTGTTATTTAGTTTAGTTACTGACATAGCCAGTAAAATGTGGGAAGTCTGAAGAAAGGAACCCCCTGCAAAATGATTTGTAAGAATTGAGAATTAGAGATTGTAATTTCTTCCTTATTCTTATTTTTTATGTATTTATATATAAATAAGAAAATGTGTTTCAGTATTGCTGTGTTGTGCAATGAATGAAATTCCCTGTATTCAATAATTTGGAACAAGAGCAAACAAGCGTAATTGCTGTTGGAATGGATAATAGAGCAAAGTAAGCATTATCCTTTTTTTCTTTGTGCCGCGTGACTAATAGAAGTATACAAAACATGATTAATGCCATTTGACAAAATTTTATTATATTTATATACTGTGTTACCACATGTCCATTCTCCATATGTTGTGCCAAACACTCTAAATGAATAATTGAGTAAAAAAGAGCTTCACCATTTTCAGAATCTTCTAGGAAACTACTGAAGTACCTGAGTGGTAGACAGGGAGGGAGGCTAGTTTCTTATGTTGCAGTGTAAGTGTTTTTATTCAGAGACATTAAAACTCACCCTACATTTGACTGAATAGTTCTTTAGATGTTAACCTTCTGAACTCCTGTTTTGCCCTATATAATTCATATCACCTTCCCACTTAGGAATGAACACAATGACTTCAGCATTGAAGAAACCTCAATCTGTAATTATTCTTATAAGTAGTAACTGCCTTAATAGGGGGTACATGAATGTTGAGTATACTTGGCAGGATTTTTAAAATAAACATTTTGCTTACTATCTCTCATCTTTAATTTGGTGAGAGAAAAAAGGTTATTAGATGAAGACAAACTGGAAGAAAGCAAATCCACTGCCAGCTATCTCGGTAAGATCTAATTGTTCCGAGGCTACTGGATTATGGGTAGATGTCCTCTCAAGCCAAGCTATAGGATATGTGAAGTCCCAGTTACTCAAAGACCATTGCTTGTTTTTTTTTCTTTTCCTTTTGCTTTCACCAAAGGGTTGATGCTCTCCTCACCTTTTTTTTTATCTTAAAGAAATGGGATCTCCCTCTGTTACCCAGGCTGGAGTGCAGTTGGGCAATCATAGCTCATGCAGCCTCGAACTCCTGGGCTCAAATGATCCTCCCATCTCAACCTCCTTTCCTCACTGTTACCAGTATTTCATCCATGGGGAAAATATGTAGGGAGAGGATCTGTTTCCTTGTTTTTTCTTATTTATTGACCTTTGTATATATGTGTTTTATGTATGTTTATCATTGATTTCTTCTAAATTATACATTTATAGAGTGTATAACTGTGTAATGTTCTGTTACACATTTATATTGCTTCCATATTGCTTCATGGTATAGCTTGTGCTTCCCCAGAATATCTCCTTGAGGAGGTGGGAATCAGAAGAATAAAAGATATGCTGTCGAGCATTGGTTCACAAGCCTGGCTGATCATCAGAATCACATGATGTGCTTTACAGAACCGCAGGCTCCCAACCTATCATATCCCCAACCCCCAGATCCAGGGGGTTGGAGTTGGTCTAGCAATCTATATACATACATTTTCAAAGCTCCCCAAATGATTGCAATAATCAGACAGACTTAGGAACTATTCTTTTTAAATGTTTGTAGAGGAAACTTGGCAGTTTATGTTTTATTCTAATGGTCCATTTGGGATTCTAAAATTTATGTATGGAAAAAGTTGCTTTTGAGCAGTAGCTTTTTTTTTTTTTTTTTTACATAAAGTCATGGAATGTGCAGCTTTAGAGTTTGAAAATTTTAAGTCTGAAATATCTAAAATGAGAATCAGTAAAAATTACTTGAATTTATCTAAACAGATAATCAGCTGGGCAAAAAATATTATGTCTAAATGTATTGAAAAGAGACAAAATATTTTTTGGTGATTAATTACGTTGAAAGTTTTAGTCAGCTTTAGTCCAAGACTGGTATTTGTTACTTCTTAAATCAGTTTTGGTAATTCCTGATTTCTTAGAAATTGGTGTATTTCTGAAATTTTATATTAGTAGCATAAAATTGTTTGAGTCTCTTGTTTCTCATGTCTATATTTAAATATGAATGTATATCTACATATACATATACACACACACACAGACCCTTAATGAGTTTGCCAATGTTTTATCATCCAAAGACGCAGCCCCAGCTCTTATGTAATTTATCACTTAATAAATGTCATTTTTGGGGGTTCATTCACTAAGTTCTGTGTTTTGTTTTTTGTTTTTTTTTTTTTTTTGAGACAGAGTCTCACTCTGTCACCAGGCTGGAGTGCAGTGGCATGATCTTGGCTCACTGCAACCTCCAGCTCCTGGGTTCAAGGGACTCTTCTGCCTCAGCTTCCCTAGTAGCTGGGACTACAGGGGCGCGCAACCACACCCGGCTAATGTTTGTGTTTTTAGTAGAGACGGGGTTTCACCATGTTGGCCAGGATGGTCTCATCTCCTGACCTTGTGATCTGCCCGCCTTGGCCTCCCAAAGTGCTGGGATTACAGGCATGAGCCACCGTGCCTGGCCTGTGTTCATCTTTAACATTGTTTACTTTGAAGATGCATTGGTTTTTTGCTTATTGTTCTTGAAGAAAAGATTCAGGATTGTGAATTTGTGACTGCAACTTTGGGCGTATCCCAAGGTTTTCAGTGCTAGTTTAGTTTTTGTTGATTTTGTTTCTAATTATCCTTTTGGCATTTCCTTATCAATATAAGATTTTTTAAAATTCAAGTGTTGTGGTTCATTTTATCCAATTTTTGGTTACTGATTTCTTGGTTTATTTGTGTTGTGGTCACATCATGTGGCTTTTACACACATTTCTCTTTGTTTTGGGGATTTGCTTACTTTTCTTTGTAGTCTTGCAAGATTTTTTGTGAAAAGAAAAACTATCAAGTTCATCACCTTTATCAATCTGACCTTTGCCATGGACTTCTTTAGATTCATTTGATTCAAGTGGATCTAAGTATTTTAAACATTTAGAATACTAAGTTAAACAAGGCTTGAAAATTAAATTGAGTAAAAGCAATCAAGAAAATCAATATTAGCTTGGGCGTTGGTGGCTCATGCCAGTGATGCCAGTACTTTGGGAGGCCAAAGCAGGAAGATTGCTTGAGCTAAGGAGATCGAGATCAGGTTGGGCAAAAACATGAAAATCCTATCTCTACCAGAAAAAAAAAAAAAAGTCAGGTATGATAGCTCATGACTATAGTCACAGCTACCCCAGAGGCTGAGGTAGGAGGCCAAGGAGTTTGAGTCTGTGGTGATGGTGAGCTATGGAGGTACCACTGTGCTCCAACCTGTGTGACAGAGTGAGACTCTGTCTCTTTTCTTTAAAAAGGAAGAAAGGAAAATCAATATTAGTCTATTAATACATTTTCTTATTGTTTTAAAACTGTATTTGGAAAGTTTCAAAATGCATTTGGACTGCATTGTTCTAAAAGCAAGTTAGAAATCCAGATTTCTTTTGCACAGTTATTTCACCATTAATTCTTACTAGTTTTGGTTGTATGATGGGAGATAGACATATAAAAATAACTTATTTAAAATGTCAGTGGATTTTTTGTAATGGGCATTCCTGGATGATAGGTGAAATTTGAACATGAACTGTTTGTTAGATAACAGTATTGTCTCAATGGTAAATATTCTGAATACAGTTGTTTCGTGATTGTGCAAATAAATGTTTTCTTTCTTAGAAGACAAGTGTTGATGTATTTAGTAATAAGCTTGTGATGCAGTAATGACCTGTCAAAATGTTTAGGAAGGAAAATAATACATAAGTATATATAAAAATGTATGCCTCTCTTTATGTATATGGGGGCATACATTTTATATATATATTGCAAGATTATATTTATTATATATAATATATAAATATTACATATATATATGCCCTCACACAAGATAGAAAGTATGGAGCATGTGTATGGAGGGAGAGGAGAAGTAAACAAAAGGGGCTGACTGTTAGTATTTGATATATCTAGATGAAAGGTATAGTTCTTGCACTTTTCTGTTGAAAATACACCAAAATAAGTTGGCAGTGATGAATAGCATGTTGTTAGGTGTTTGTAGGGTCTATTTTCAAGGGAAATTGAAAAGTTTGTTGGTTTTATGTTTTAATTACACATATAAATTAATATTAATGTATGATTAGAGTTCCTGATAAAATAAGTCTGGGAACTGCTGCGTAGTATATATGTTCCCCATAGAGATTAATTAGCATATTAGTGTATTAAGGATGCTGAGAAATAACTTAGAAGGGGGACTTTATTTAAATTAACACTACCCATACTTATTTGGAGTAGAATGTTCTTTTTTCAAGGTATCTCTTAAATATCCTACAGATCAGTGGGAGCACCACTGTGGGATACTTTTTAATTAGAAGATTGATTATTTTCTTCTCTATGCTTACTCATCATTATATCTTTTTGAATCAGAAAGAAACTTATATTGCCTAATAACTTTTGGAGATCTTTTCTGTCTCGTCTAGCTCTAACACTGTGCTGTTATCTACAAATTTGGATCTTCATTGCTGATATCTAGATCTGCTTCATCGAGGAATATCGACTTTATTTTAATATTTTTCCTTTAAAAATATTTTTGTTTTTATTATAATTTTTGCGGAAGTTAATTTGACACATTTATGAGGCATTTATTTAAAATAAAATCAATGCATTCTTTTAATTATTAAAAAATAATTTACAAATGTTCATTATTATATAATTATTGTTGATTTTAAAGAAGAAAACATCCAGAAAAAAACAAAACAAAAGAAAAAAAAAAAAGAAAACATCCAGGAATGTTTTATCTTTAGGTGTGTACAGAACAGGAATACTATAACTTCCTACATTATTCTTTTCAAAATCAGTGAAAATGACTAATGCATAAATGAGCTTCACCATGGGCAAAAATTAAGCTAGGCAATGCAAGAAAGTAATGGCTTCAGAGTTAAATATTGACTAAATGAATTACCCTCATGTGCTGTATAGCTAAATAATCTGTTTTGTTTTCTCTACCTCAAACAAAATGCTGAAGTGGGGAGCTAAAATGGCAAAGGAGATTGTAGTCTTTCTGAATGCTCGAATAATTTCATAGACATGAAGGCTAAGCATAGGTCATAAATAGGACACTGAATACACATGTAGCATCCTGATGATTTCAGGATAACAAATGTAGCACTAGAGTATTAAGTAAATGCCTTTTGAAGCTTAAAAGCCATTTGTTTTAACAAAGGAAGGCTAGTAATGAACTTCAGGAAGCAATTACCACGATTTGTATTAGCTAAATATATAGAGGTTCAAGAAGATGAATTCATTGGAGTATCAGAGAATTAATATATCCCTAATTTAAAATTAATTTATCATAGAAAATAAGTCTCTTGTAAAACATCTATAGTAGTTACTGTGCTGTATTTCAGTGCAGAATTTGACTTTCCATGAAGAAAAAACGAAAGACAAATTGTAATATAACAATTTTATAAACTTTAAATGATAAATCATAGTAAATATATATTTATAGGATGAGCATGGTGGCTCACTGTTGTAATCGCAGCACTTTAGGAGACTGAGGCAGGCAGATGACTTGAGGTCAGGAGTTGCAGACCGGTTTGGCCAACATTGCAAAACCCTGTCTACCAAAAATGCAAAAAGTAGCCAGGCATGGTGGTACATGCCTGTAATTGCAGCTACTTGGGAGGCTAAAGCAGGAGAATCACTTGAACCTGGGTGGTGGAGGTTTCAGTGAGCCAAGATCATGTCGTTGCACTCCAGCCTTGATGACAGTGCAAGACTGTCAAAAATATATATATATATATATTTCTTTAGATATATATATAAATTTTTATATGTATTTCTTAGATAACAAGTATTCTATATATTGAAAATTGAAGGCCGGGCGTGGTGGCTCACGCCTGTAATTCCAGCACTTTGGGAGGCCGAGGCGGGCGGATCACAAGGTCAGGAGATCAAGACCATCATGACTAACACAGTGAAACCCCGCCTGTACTAAAAATACAAAACATTAGCCGGGTGTGGTGGCAGGCGCCTGTAGTCCCAGCTACTCGGGAGGCTGAGGCAGGAGAATGGCGTGAAACCAGGAGGCGGAGCTTGCAGTGAGCTGAGATTGGGCCACTGTACTCCAGCCTGGGTGACAGGGCGAGACTCCGTCTCAAAAAAAAAAAAAAAAAGAAAAAGAAAATTGAAACAAAAATGTTGCAAAATGTATCCATCGATACATGTGATGCATTGTGATATATTTTTTATTTAAATACTGGTTATAAAACACTGATTTATAACAATTATTAATGGGTTGTTAGCTTGAAGGTAAAACAAATGAGATAGGGCATGATTCAGGCCTTTGTGTACATACTATATTCTAATGAAAGTAATTACAATTATCTTCTAAATAGCTGCAGATATTTTTTCTATAAACAATTTTAGATGTTACATTGTTAAATGTTAGCTTTCAGATTCTTCACGTTTTAATCCAGAGAAGTCTTTTTTAGCGAACTTACAGGAATCATTGTATCATTCAGCTATTAAATAAGGAATTGTTCTAATTCACATCTTATTTAAGAACTTTACTAGGTTATATCTATTTCAAGTATGAGAAGAATCTAGATAGAAGGACTAGAATTGGATTAAAGGTGATCCAGATAAAAAATAGTAATTCTAATGAGAGAATTTTTTAACATTGAAAATAGTACCCTGTTTTTTTGTGTTTTTTTTTTTTTAATGTTAGAGTCAAACCATTGCACATTACTGTGTAAAAATACACAAAGATGGTAACTTGCTGCTAAAGCCCTTTTTACTTTTGAGTCTTTGTATTTTTTTCACCTTTGTAATTTTAAGTTGTGCTTTTATCACTCATTTATTTTCTATCTTTATTTCTGTTTGGGTTAAAGTTACAAACAGCAAGTTCTTGTGTTTAAATTCCTGAAAATGTTGCGATGGAATTACAGTAATGTGTTATGGCTTGGGCCCCTCGCAGGAGTGTATCTCGCAGTCAGCAGTGAAAACAAAGTTTGAACAGCACACTATCAGAGCTAAACAGATACTAGCTACTGTGAAAAACATAATGGATTCAATAAACCTGGCAGCTGAAGAGAAAAGGTATGAGTTCATTTCGTTGCAACGTAAAAATGTTAGTTTTTTTGGTCAGACTTTTGTTAAGACTGAGGTTTTAAATTGTTGTACTATAAATACTTTTTACAGTGAAATCAGCCTTGTGGGTTTAACTGATGCCTACTTGTATTTTTTAAGTGCATATTTAAAAGTGTCAATATTTATTCTGCAACCTTGCACACATCATTTATATTCCCTGGACCTCACTATTCCTGTGTATGAATTGCGATTTTTAAAATGTTTTATGGCTATTTCTTCAAGCAGATTTTTATGAAGAACTCCAAAACAGGTGATCCTCTTTTTGCATTCAACCCACAACCCACTTTTTAATATAGTCATACATCGGTATTTTGAAATCACTATTTTATACTAGTTGTGTTTGTTTATTGCCTGATGAACAAACAAGGTGATGCTACCTGCCAACCAGAAAGTTGATTCGGTAAGCAGTACCCTTTATGTTATACTGTATGGCATTATTTTATACTATTTGTTACCTTGTAAAGGTGGCAATGAATACATGAAAATACCAGCATTATTGATAAAAAGTATAATTCTCACAAACTTGGTATGCTTGAAACACAGAATGGAATGTTACTAGATGTGACAAAAGTAATGATGTTAAGCCTCAATAGAACCTTCAGTGGACTTAAGCCAGTTGAAGGAAACATAAAAGCATCAAAGCTTAAGTCCAAGATGTCATAACATTGGAATTTTAAATGTATTTGCTCTTGCTGGGAACAAAGACTCCCTCATGTCCCTGTGTGTTGCTTTATAATGGTACTTTCTTAGGAATGAATTAAGTTCAAATGCAGAGAACTGCCAGCATATAAAATGCAAGGATCAGAACCCTGAGTTTGAACTCAGCCCCTGTGTAGAGCCTCTGTTTAATGAGATTGTGCTGCTATAGCACTTCCTTCTAGCTCAGTTGCTTTGATGTAGTACCCAAATTTTGGTCTATAAGATTGATTTAATTAGTAATTATTTTTAAAGACATAGGACATTGAACAAAGTATAGCACAAAGAAAATGTGATTTGAGGATTGTATAATCATAATGTGCTGGGAACTTCTTAAGTAAAAGATCTTCTTAAATGGATTTCAGACCTTTATTTTCCTGTATCAGCCGGAGGTGAACAAACTTTTAAAAAAAGAGCCAGACAGTAAATGTTCTAGGCTTTATGGGCCATAAAGTGTCTTGGAGCTACTCATTTCTACAGTTTTAGAGCAAAAGCAGCCATAGATAATAGGTAAATGAATGGATGTGGCTGCATTTCAAGAAAACTTTAACAAAAGCTGGCAGCTGGCTAGATTTGGCTTGTAAGGTACCATATGCTGACCCCTGCTTATTAACTAAAGTCAGTACTGCATTCTGTTTTGCCTGTTCATATTTATGAAGTGTTTGAAGACTTAGAATTCTTATTCATCCTTTCTGGGTTTCAGGTGCCACATGGGCAGAGAAATGTGGTTTCTATCAAATGGTCTATATAAAATACTTTATAAGTGAAATATTACTTGAATCCTTTCAGATGTTACAAGTTTTTCTTCCTTGGGTCATGCTAATAGATGGTTCAATACATGAATGAGTCCCTTGCTGAAATGCTTTAGGACTTCAGTCTACCCTGAACGTTGATTACTCTTTATTACTGAAATAGGCATTATTCAGTGGAAGAGAGGGAAGACCAAATTGATAGACTGGACTTTATTCGAAACCAGATGAACCTTTTAACACTGGATGTTAAGAAAAAAATCAAGGAGGTTACCGAGGAGGTGGCAAACAAAGTGGGTAACAGTAGCTTCATGATTAAAATAACCTGGATGGAAATTATTTTTGATAATACTAAAAATGTTATTCCTGTTACTTTAAAAGAATGTTTTAAGATTTTTCAACTTAATTTTTTTGAGTAATTGATAATCTTGTTTAATTATTTTAACTCCAAATTTTTCATATTTTCAGGTTGCATGTGCAATGACAGATGAAATTTGTCGACTGTCTGTTTTGGTTGATGAATTTTGTTCAGAGTTTCATCCTAATCCAGATGTATTAAAAATATATAAAAGTGTAAGTTAAAGTATAGATAAAATTATTCAGAGACAGTTTCTTATTATTCTATACCCTCATTTATTTCATGGTTTGGCATTTCAGTGTCTTCATGGCAATCAGTACAAAATGAAACTGTTAGATTGCCCTCTTGTAATAAATGTAAACTATCTTGTATAAAAAGTAAATAGAAAATTTATACTTAGAATGAGGTAAAGATCATTTTAGGACAAGACACAGTGGCTCATGCCTGTAATCTCAATACTTTGGGAGGCCGAAGCGGGAGGATCACTTGGGCCCCGGAGTTCGAGACCAGCCTGGGCAACATAGTGAGAACTGTAATCTACAAAAAACAAAGTTAGGCTGGGCGGTAGCTCATGCCTGTAATCCCAGCACTTTGGGAGACTGAGGCGGATGGACCATGAGGTCAGGAGTTCGAGACCAGCCTGACCAACATGGTGAAACCCTGTCTCTACTAAAAATACAAAAAAAAACTTAGCCAGTGGCAGGCGCCTGTAATCCCAGCTACTTGGGAGGCTGAGGCAGGAGAATCGCTTGAAACCGGAAGGCAGAAGTTGCAGTGAGCCAAGACCACGCCACTGCACTCCAGCCTGGGCAACAAGAGCAAAACTCCATCTGAAAAAAAAAATAGCCAAGCGTGGCGACACGCTCCTAAAGCCCCAGTTACTCAGGAGTCTGAGGCAGGAGGATCAGTTGAGCCCAGGAGGTCAAGGCTACAGTGAGTCAAGATCAAAGCACTCCAGCCTGGGCAACTAAGCAAGACCCTGTCTCACAAAAAAATATATAAATAAATTAAATTAAATTAAATTAAAAAGACCATTTTGGCATTTACTGCATTTTTTATGTCTTTATAAAAACTACATGCTTTCTGGAGAAAAAATAATATGGATATTTGCCATTGTTAACAGGAATTAAATAAGCACATAGAGGATGGTATGGGAAGAAATTTGGCTGATCGATGCACCGATGAAGTAAACGCGTTAGTGCTTCAGTCCCAGCAAGAAATTATTGGTAATATTTATGTCTACAAGGTCACGTCTGGTTTGTTTTTTCATTCATGACTCTGGTAAAGAGCTTATTTTCCTTTAGGCGTTCCATTGAAGGTAAAACACTTACCATTCTTTCTTAAAATAAGTGTTGTAATTTTGTTCTTTCTAGAAAATTTGAAGCCATTACTTCCAGCTGGTATACAGGATAAACTACATACACTGATCCCTTGCCAGAAATTTGATCTCAGTTATAATCTAAATTACCACAAGTTATGTTCTGATTTTCAAGAGGATATTGTATTTCATTTTTCCCTGGGCTGGTCTTCCCTTGTACATCGATTTTTGGGCCCTAGAAATGCTCAGAGGGTGCTCCTAGGATTATCAGAGCCTATCTTTCAGGTATGTATCTTTGAATCTACCAATTTAGACTCTCCTTTATTATTTTGTTTGTGTGATTTTTCTATAATAAAACTAGCTTTACAAAATCTGCATATTTAAAAACTAATATCTGTCTCTTAGAGCCATTTCTGAGGTAGATATTTAGTTTGAGCATCCCCAATCTGAAAATCCTTAAAGGTCCAAAATCAAAAACTTTTGAGTATGGTGACACCACAGGTGGAAAATTCCACACAAGACCTCATGTGAGGTCATAGTAAAAAGGCAGGCACACAACACACAGTTTTATTCAGTGTCCTCAGGGGAAAGACTCAGCCTCCTCTAACTGCAATATATCTTTTCCACACATGCCCAAATTCCCCCACACAAGCACACCTATGAAGGGTACTAAAATGGCACATGTGCAGGCCCAATGCACCAACAGCAGGTTCCCCATGATGCCCTACAAGGGGCCAAGACCTTTGTGCATTACCCACTATGGGCTTCTTTACTTACTCTCTTTTCTCTGGTGTAAAGATACTGTTTAAAAAAGATCTTTTTTTGAGTGGGGGTGTGTTTGAGATGGAGGCTTGCTCTGTGGCTCAGGCTGGAGTGCAGTGGCACAATCTTGGCTCACTGCAACCTCCACCTCCTGGGTTCATCCTGTTCTCCTGCCTCAGCCTCCCAAGCAGCTGGGATTACAGGCACCCATCAACACACCTGGCTAATTTTTGTATTTTTAGTAGAGATGGGGTTTCACCATGTTGGCCAGACTGATCTCAAACTCCTGATCTGAAGTGATCAACCTGCCTCAGCCTCCCAATGTGTTGGGAATACAGGCATGAGCCACAGTTTCCAGCCTGTTTAAAGTGTTTAAAAGGCCTACAGATACCCTCGTGGGTGACATTGATAAGAAAAAGAAGAGGCATTTATTTTATTTATAGCACAAAAATTTAAGCTGTTGGAAAAACTGGATAACAATGTGAGAAACTTCTTACAGAAGAATGATGTTGGAATGAACACCATATATGACCTAAAAGAAAGAACAACTTTCCTAAAGTTGTTCTTTAGGCCTAAACTATTGAAGTTCTGTGCTAAAAATGATGACAGAAGTTAATTAAAAAAAAAAAAAAAAAAAAAAAACTACAGAAAGTTAAATACAAAGATCTTGATCATGTATTGAAAGAGTGGATCCATCAGTATTTCAGTGAACACGTGCCACTTAAGGACATGCTGGTTATGAAATAAAGATCTATTAAAATGAACTGAAAATCAAAGGGAACTGTGAGTATTCAATAGGCTAGTTAGAGAAATTTAAGGTAAGATAGCATTAACTTTTTTAAAGGTTTGTGGTGGTAAAGCATCTTGATCACAAAAACAGCAGAGAAATTCATTGATGAATATGCCAAGTTGTCTCTGATGAAAATCAACTCCAGAACAAGTCTGTAATGCTGACGAAACACCACTGTTTTGCCATTATTGACCCAAAAAGACACTGACTACAGCTGAGAAGACAGCCCCTACAAGAATTAAGGATGCAAAGAACAGAATAACTGTGCTGGGATGTGCTAATGCAGCAGGCATAAATGTGAACTTGCTGTGATAGGCAAAAGCTTGTGTCCTCACTGTTTTCAAGGAATGAATTTTTTACTAGTCCATTATTGTGCGAACAAAAAGGCATGGATCCCTAGGGACATCTTTTCTGATTGGTTTCACAAACATTTTATACCAGCAGCTTGTGTGCACTTGCAGGGAAGCTAGACCAGATGATGACTGCAAGACTTTGTTATTCCTTGACAACTATTCTGTTCATCCTCTAGCTGAAATTCTCATAAAAAATAATGTTTCATTATTTTAACCTTGTGACCAGGGTATTCTAAGATCAATGAGGAGTAAATACAAAAACCTTTTTTGGGCAGCATGCTAGCAGCAGTGAACTGAGGCTGAGTGTGGAAGGTTTTCAGAAGGAGTTTAGAATGAAAGCTGCCATATATGCTGTTGCCAGCACAAGGAGTTTAGGATGAAGGATGCCATATATGCCAGCACTTGGAAGACAGTTACTCAGTTGTGTATGCCTGCAGCCTCTGCCTGTCACTACATTTATTGATGATGAGGAGCAAGTTGGTGACTTTGAAGTATGTCAAGAGAGAAAAAAATGACATCTGACCTCCTTATGCAAAAAAATAATATCTTCAGAGTCCATCTGTAAGCTAGAAGAAGGGTATATCAAAGAAGTGTTTAACATTGATAATGAGGCTTCAGTTGTTCATTCATTAACTGATGACGAAAGAGCTAAAATGCTTCTAAATCAAGGTGATTATGATAATAGTGATAATGAAGATGATGTCGTTGACCCTGCAGAACAAGTGCCTATAGGCAGGATGGTGATGGGCTTCTTGAAGCACTAGAGCAGCATGTATTCATAACAGAACAAGAAATAGGTTTATAAAATCAGGGAGAGACTTCAACAAAAACCATTGTTAGAGAGGCAAGTAGGTGGTACTACAGGAAACATTTTAAAAGGCCATTCAGCAGAATGTCTTCTTATGCCTAGAGGACCCACTTCTTGGTCCCCCAGCTGCTTCTGATGTTTCTTCTCACCTAACAAAGTACTGTGTACAGGAATTTTTAATCAAAATATAGCATTGTAGGTAGAGACTGAAAGCCTGCCATTGTTGCTGTTTAACAGCTGATACAAGTGTTCTGTGCTGCTTAGTTTGAATACATTATTTTTCACTATTATTAATGGTGTGTCTTATATTTTTACTGTTAAGTTCCTTTGTGTGAATAGGTGTAAGAAAATGATTGCTTGTCAGTAGCATAAAAATTCAGTCAAGAATGATGGTGATGCCAAACAACCACAGAGTGTTCACATGGGTGGCTGACATAGTGACACCTGTGTTTTCTGATGAGTCAATGTATACAACCTTTGTTTCATGCACAAAATTATTTAAATATTGGATAAAATTACTTTCAGGCTATGCATATAAGGTATATGAAACATAAATGAATTTTGTGTTTGGACTTGGGTCCCATCCTCAAGATAGCTCATTATAATATCTATGAAAATATTCAAAAATCCTAAAAAATCTGAAATCTGAAACACTTCTGGTCCCAAGCATTTTGGATAGGGGACACTCAGCCTGTGGTATGCTTAAGGGAAAGCTTATCATAAAGCTTTCGTCCAGTACTGTTGCAGGTGGTGCTACATTCATTTTTGAAACTTTTATGTTTTCTTAGAAGATTTGGTTTTCACATTTCAAATAAATAATAAATACAAACTTTTTAAAAGAAAAAGTTTTAAAAATTTATTAATTCAGTAATTTTTAAGGAAATTTGTGAAATTGTAAAACCATCACCACAATTGAGTTTTAGCTTTTGTCACCCCAAAGCCGTTTTACTCATTTGTAGCCAATTATGATTTCCACCTGCAGCCTCACCACTAATCTGCCTTATATTTATGGATTTGCCCTTTCTGGACATTTCCTATAAATGCAATCATATAAAATATGGCCTTGTGTGATTAGTTTCTTTCACTTAGTATAATGTTTTCAAGGTTTGTCATCATGGTATCAGTGTTGTAGGATGTATAGTACTTCATTTCTTATTATGGCTGAGGACTATTCCATTATAGATATAACACTATCCATTCATCAGTTGGTGGACATTAGGGTAGTTTGTACTTTTTAGCTATTATGAATAATGCTGCTATACATATTCATCTACATGTTTTTTATGTGGACCTGTGTTTTCATTTCTCTTTAGTATATACTTAGGTTCTAGTGGGCATAGAGTAGTATTTCATTGGAGGTTTGATTTGCATTTCCCTAATGACCAATGATTTTAAACATCTTTTTGTGTGCTTACTAGCCATTTGTGTATCTTCTTTTGTGAAATGTCTATTCAAAGCTTTTACCTATTTTTAAATTATTTGAGTCCTATAGAGTTGCAGGGTTTCTTTGCATATTCTGGATCAAGTTCTTTCTCACATATATGATTTCCAAATATGATTTTTATTTGATTTTTTATTTTTTGAGACAAGGACTTGCTCTGCCCAGGCTGGAGTATGATGGCATGATCACAGTTCACTTGCAGCCCCTGCTTCCAAGGAGCTGGGACCACAGGCATGTGCCACCACACCTAGCTAATTTAAAACAATTTTATGTAGACACAAGGCCTCACTGTGGTGCGCAGGCCAGTTTCAAATTTCTGATCTCAAGCTGTCCTCCTGCCATGGCCTCCCAAAGTGCTGGGACTACAGGCATAAGCCACCACGCCCACCCCCAAATATATTTCTCTTGTCTGTGGCTGTGCATTTTGAAGTTTGAGAGGCTTTTATTTTGAAGGCCTTTTTTTTTTTTTGGTTTATCTTTTTTGGTTGTTGTTTGTTTCAAGGATTGTGCTTTTGTTGTTAGTTTTTTTTAAAACACAATTCGTTCCTCTTGAGAGTTGAAGGCCTATTGTTACATTTAGACCCCATTGTATATTATGAACATTTATTATTGTTCATGATATCATTGGTCCATATCGTAGACAAGAATTTCCAAATTATTTTTATTTTCTACGTATATTTGCTGTATACTCATCATTTAGGGTAATTTTTCCCTCATAGATTTGCTATTATAATTTTAAAGAGTTTTATAAAGGTAACTTTAATTTATAGTTGTTTAAGTATAATAATCTTTTTTCCTTTTTCTTTTTTTTCTTTTTGGCAGCTCCCTAGATCTTTAGCTTCTACTCCCAGTGCTCCTACCACTCCAGCAACGCCAGATAATGCATCACAAGAAGAACTCATGATTACATTAGTAACAGGATTGGCTTCCCTTACATCTAGAACTTCTATGGGTATCATTATTGTTGGAGGAGTGGTAAGAAACATTACTTTTAGTGTAATTAAAATTGAAATGTTTTCAAGGCTGCCTGTTAGCTCACAAAAGAAAAGCTATATAGTATTTACTTCTGTTTATAGGATCTGTAAAATAGTATGAACATTTGCAGGTTAAAGGTAGTGAATTAAATATCACAAGTCTCATCTTAAATTTTTAAAAAACATACATTTTTAGGAATGAACTGTCACCATCTAGCTGGTCTTTAATACTTCCTAAGCATTTTCACATCATAGCACCCAAATAAATATTTGTACATTGGGGTAATAAGAAAATCCCAGGTGCCCTATCTAGCCTTCTCTGAATATCAAGGGGATCTATCGTAAGTATTAAATATTATTTTTAGTAGTAGTTATTTGTTTTTTTTTTTTTTTAATTATATCATTAACAGCATAGATATACTTGTTTTGGTTTTTGAAAGATCTGACCTAAAATAGATAACCTCGTTTTATTGTTGAGATACATTGAATCAGTTTATCAAATCTGGCAGCTTATTAAGCTCTCCCTTATTTGTGTGCTGATCCCTTTTAAGCCTGATTGATTTCTGGTAACTTCAGGTTTTCTCATAGAGAAGGAATATACAAATGTATCTAACTCAAAGATCCATAAGGAGCTAAAATGTTTTTAAATGTGCTCTCCAAAATGGTGTTTTTCCTTCTCAGACTAACCTGTGACTTTATCTTACAGATTTGGAAAACTATAGGCTGGAAACTCATATCTGTTTCATTAACTATGTATGGAGCTTTGTATCTGTATGAAAGACTGTCCTGGACCACCCATGCCAAGGAGCGAGCCTTTAAACAGCAGTTTGTAAACTATGCAACTGAAAAACTGAAGATGATTGTTAGCTCCACGAGTGCGAACTGCAGTCACCAAGTAAAACAGTAAGTTGAAAGATGCATCTTTCCTTTAAAAAAAAAAGTTACTGAAATATGACATATATGCAGAAAATGCACAAAATAAGTGTATTGCTCAAAGAATTATCACAAAATGAACATGTTTTGTGATCGCCACAAATGAGAAAAAATAGAACAATACTAAACCTCACTGCTGCCGTTTCTCCCTCCTAATCACTATTCTTCTTTCCATTCTCCTGATAGGTTAGGTTTGAACATTAGAAAATTGGTAGATAGGAACTCTCAAGAACTCTGGAGGGGTTTAAAAATATAGTTCTTAATTTTTGTTGTTGTTATTTTTTTTTCAGAGATAGGGTCTCTATTGCCCTGGCTGGAGGGCAGTGGCGCAATCATGGCTCACTGCAGCCTCGAATCTTGGGCTCAAGTGATCCTACTGCCTCAACCTTCTGAGTAGCTGGGACCACAGGTGTGTGCCACTACACCTGGATAATTTTTAATTTTTTTTTTTGAGACAGGGTCTCAATATGTTGCCCAGGTTGGTCTTGACCTCCTGGGCTCAAGTGATCCTCCCTCCTCAAGCCTCCTGAATAGCTGGGATTATAGGCATGCGTCACCATGCCCAACTCAAAAGATCTTCAGCAGACCTGTTCTAAATCTGTGTGCCTGGCTGGGCAAGGTGGCTCACGCCTATAATCCCAGCACATTGGGAGGCTGAGGCAGGTGGATCACTTGAGGTCGGGAGTTTGAGAACAGCCTGGCCAACATGGTGAAACTCCATCTCTACAAAAAATACAAAAATTAGCCGGGCGTGGTAGCGCATGCCTGTAATCTCAGCTAGTTGGGAGGCTGAGGCACGAGAATTGCTTGACCCTGGAAGGCAGAGGTTGTAGTGAGTTGAGATCACACCACTGAACTCCAGCCTGGGCAACAAAGTGAGAGACTATGTCTCAAAAATAAATAGTTGCCCTTAAGATATTTGTGGTTTTTGTCGCCCAGGCTGGAGTGCAATGGCACAATCTCGGCTCACTGCAGCCTCCACCTCCCGCATTCAAGCAAGTAGCTGGCACATGCCACCACACCCAGCTAATTTTTTTTTTTTTTTTTTTTTTTTGAGACAGAGTCTCACTTTGGAGTGCAGTGGCGCGATCTCGGCTCACTGCAACCTCTGCTTCCCGGGTTGAAGCAATTCTCCTGCCTCAGCCTCCTAAGTAGCTGGGACTACATGTGCATGCCACCACACCTGGCCAAATTTTTTTGTATTTTTAGTAGAGATGGGGTTTTCACCATGTTGGCCAGGATGGTCTCGATGGTCTCCTGACCTCATGATCCACTTGCCTCGGCCTCCCAAAGTACTGGGATTACAAGCATGAGCCTCCACGCCCAGCCCCATGCCCAGCTAATTTTTTTGTTGTTGTTGTATTTTTTTTTAGTAGAGCCAGGGTTTTACCGTGTTGGCCAGGCTCATCTCAAACTCCTGACCTCAAGTGATCCACCTGTCTTGGGCTCCCAAAGTGTTGGGATTACAGGCGTGTGCCACTGCGCCCAGCCAGATCTTTGTGGTTTCTTAATTAAGAAAACTGAATGAATAGAGAGGTAGCCTGGCCAAGCAGTCTAAGAAAGCTGAATGAATTCTTAGCATTTAACAAATGGACTTAATGGTAGGCAGACTCCTGATTTCATGGTGAGTATAATGTATTTTTGCTCTCACGGTTCAAATGTATAAGTTAAATGCTATTTTATTTTTAGATCTCAGGAGAATTTTATCATAACATATACCTAAGTCGACCTGGTTTCTGCTTTTATGCAACTTAAATATTTGTTTCATTCATGTGGTAAAAATATATAGAACTCCAGTCAAGTCAGGGTACAATATTCTGTATTTGGATGCCTCTTGAGAGCAGAATTTAAAAATTCTTTGAGTTCAAGATAACTTCAGTTTAATGGGAGAAACTAACATTTACATAATTATAATACAAAGTTAAGAGTGATAAGAAATAGAAGAAGATAAACTATTATCATAAGACAAGGCTGTACAAGTTACTTAAATCATGAAGGATAGTAGATCAATAAAGGTTTCCTAGAGGAGATATGTAGCATATGAGATTTGAACACGCTGTATCAGAAGATGAGATGGAGACAACAACCCAAATCAAAAGCAAGAAGGTAAGGGGAAAGGAATGCATTCAAGGACATGAAGAGAAAAATTTCAGTGTGGCACGTGTATATAAGCTGTTTACATACATTCAGTTATATACTTCATGGCAGGATGTGGCCTTGTCTGTATGTGTAGATTGGGGTTTGGATAATTAGGAATTCTGAGAGTGATGTCACCAACACTTAGCTCTAAAACAAATAACTTTGCAGTAGTATATGAAATTGTTCAGACTTAGGAGACAGGAATTGCAGGAACGATAAACTGTTTCAGATACAAAATCAAAGCCTGAAGTAACAGTTAATAATTGCAGAGAATGGTTACCAGGAGACCTCAAATTTGAGGAATTTGTTCATTTATTCATTCATTCATTGACCAAGTTTTTTGAGCCTCTATTTTTATCTGATAGTTGTAATTTATATTAAAAATGAGTTTTCATCTAATTAACATATTTGGACATCCAAAGAAATCAGCTGAAATTCATATAAATAAAAACAAAGTTAATGTAGCTTTCCATGCATTGATTATCAAACGTTTATTAATTGGCTTCCATGTAGCAATTCATGCTAGGGGTTATGGGAAATAAAAACTTGACTTGATCCTCTTTCTTAGAAGACTTGGCACGTTAATGGAGGTAACCTCAAATAATATCTCAATTAAAATAAACTAAGTAAATATTTAATATTTAACAAAATAGTAAAAGAATGACACATGCTTCATGTCTAATACTGGGATTTGGTGGAATGGGAAGAGGTATGCTCCCATTTAAAAATGCAATGTTTGCCAAAGTTGCTATATTAATTAGCTCTCAAATATAACCCTTTGATTCTAGAAATATTGTTAAATTTTGCTATAGTAAGGTATTTTTGCCTATGTCACGAAAGTTCGTGGAATTTTTTTTCTGTTCTTGATAATTTCTTACTTTGATTGGGCAGGGTCCCGAGCATGAGTAAGGTTTATTGTGCTTCTGAAGAAACAGACCTGTCTTTTGTCTTTATGTAGCTTGTTCTTGTTCACAGCCATATAGCAGAGGTAATATCGTCTCTTGAGCCAGGATAAAATTCAGCCCACTAGTGCCATACCTTCCCTCTTAGCATTCTTAGTGTTCTGATTCCCTGTAGTTTAGAAGTTTTTTAAAACTTGTGTTCTCCTTTTTATGTGAGCTTTAAATTAAAGCTTATTCATTTTTGAAGACATTTATGACTGCTTCTAAATATGTATTTTAAGAAAAATGGCTACCACTTTTGCTCGCCTGTGCCAACAAGTTGATATTACTCAAAAACAACTGGAAGAAGAAATTGCTAGATTACCGAAAGAAATAGATCAGTTGGAGAAAATACAAAATAATTCAAAGCTCTTAAGGTATGTAAACCTTTCTTCTCAATAATTTGAACATTTACTCATCTCATTACAAAATATGTAAAATTATTAATGAATTTGTATTCATACCTAATAGCTCTTTGTGTTGGTTTGAATGAAAATCTTCCATATTGAATTCCATGTGTTTTGCAGTTTCACCGAAGGCTAATTTCAACAAGAAAACAAATCTGAATCGAAAGAAACTTTATAGATCAAAATTTACTCTTTATTAGGCTATATTTGTCCCTTTCAGAACAGAAGTTGTATAATTAAAAGTGGTTTTTAGTTGTATATGTTCAAGATTCATAACTTCTGTTTTCATGGGAGACTATTGATTGTGCATACTTAAATCATAATAAAAGTAAGATTTCCTGATAAGATGTGGATTTCTGGTTTGATATGATTCATTATATATTATTTAGGGTCTAATGAAATTTGCTTTTGGGGACAAGACTGAAAGTGTCACCATTCGGTGTGTGGTTGGGAATTCTTACTCAGTGCTTAAGAACTTAACTTTCAGCTTTCTTACTTATGCTTACCCATTAGGCTCGCTTGTCAGAATGTCTTGGAAGAACGATTAAACCTCATTTAGTCCCTGCTGTTACTTCTAGGACACATACTACACAAAATTGCCCGTGTAAGAATAGCTTAGTAGTCAATGTTTACAAATTGGAGGGACTGTCTTTGTGACCTGGATTTTTGGACATGTGCTTAAAACACCCATAGTAGTGATTATCCATAGTGTCTTCATCTGACCAACACACGTGTTCATTGCACCTTAGTTTCAAAATCTCTGGAAAAGATGACTGCCTGTCACTTAGATATTTCCACCCTCACCCACCCATGTGAATTGTATGTATTCGATTGCTCCTATTTTAAGTCAGCTCATCCCAAATATACCTTTCAAATTTGGTGAAACTGCAGTAGAAATTGGTTTTATGTCTTAACCTTAAACTTAACCCTGTAAGTTTTTGTGGTTAATTTTGGTTTTGATTTATTCAGCTTTTGATAGAGAAATACCTAGGTAAGTTTTTAAGTAGTATTTCATTTTGTTATAATAAAACAAATGATAAAATAGATTATTGGCATTAGTCATGTAGCTTTCTGATTTGGGAAAGACTGGCTTGAATAAGTATGAATATTTTTGGTCTGCTAATTAATCATTTTTCTAATAGAAAAAAGTTTGAAAAAATCAAATACCATAATATTTGGAATCTCCATTTTTTACTAGATTAGGCTCAGCCATTTGAATAGAATTTAATGTGCTAACGCTGCAGGAGAGCTACCTCAAGAAATATATACAGTAGAGTTCAGAGCTGATGTACGCTTCACTTGTGTGACCTGAAGCATATGCACACAGGAATAAAGTAAAACAAGACCCCTCCCTGCTCCATAATGGAGAGAGAGAGCCCATGCAATGAATATGTATGAGAATGGGAAACAAATCTGGTTTTCTGACAGTTTTAGTTCCAATTTTCCTCTCTTGTGGGCATTTGGCTGCATCAAGGATGAATCTAGTGTTTAAAGGAAATATTTTTGGTATGCCATTGCCACTGTAACATCTGCTAATTTCCTTATATGTCCGTAAGAAACACTCTGTACTTTGTGCATTATTTAAAGGGAATTTGCAAGCATAATCATGACTCTAGGTAACTTAGGATATAACTCCCGTGTAAGATGTGATTCCACTGTCTATTATGCTCTTCGTTGTTTATTATTAAAGTTTTTGTCTTTTAATAATGGATGGAATACACTTTTCTCCTTGACTTTTACGGTAATTAGATTGGCGTTTTTTTTTTTTTTTAATTAGAAATAAAGCTGTTCAACTTGAAAATGAGCTGGAGAATTTTGCTAAGCAGTTTCTACCTTCAAACAATGAAGAATCCTAACAATAGAGATTGCTTTGGTGACCATGATGGGAGGAAATGAAACTTGTAAGATTGGCACAGTTGTTATTTTTATGAAATGACTTTAAATATGAATTGTACTAACTGTACCTAAATAGCAAAGCCCTGTGTAGATTCTGGTAATGATCTATCTCAGGGTATGTGTATTTTTGAAGAGTGTTATGTCCTTAGTTTTAATTTTGGGTAAAGAAAGGGCTAAAATCATGAATTAGTTACAAGCAACAGTACCAACCTATGTGACCCCTGAGGGGTGGGGCTGTGAGCTCTTAATTTGTTTTTGATTCTGAAAAACTCTGCTTCCTGGCATCCAGGAGTTAGAGATTGAGCCTTTCATCTTCTTTCTCAAAACTAGTTTTTGATGCTTTCTTTCATGGGAATAGTCACTTTTTAATTTTATTTAATAAATTGCATTGCTGGAACCACCAAGGAGTGTGGAATGTCCTTGAGTGTATTATTTATGCAAGTTACAGTCACTTTGCCATCATGGCAGCTATGTGAACCACTAATAAATGTACTGTTTTTACTTTTTATTCCCATTAAAACTGATGTGAAACAGGATAAAAGCTTGTTATGGTCACTTATAAGTATCTGAGTCTAAGTAATTTCCTTAGATGTTTCTAAAGAAACATTTTCAGCTTTGCTCCAATTATGATTACAATAAGGAAAGCTTTCCTAGTGCAATTTTAGGAGTAAAGTTTGAAGAGATAAAAATAGCCAAAGATAGGAGAGGTCTGAATTATAAATGATAACAGTGATGTTTTAAAAAAGCTGTTCTTCAGGAGGCATTTGTCTAGGATATTGCTGGATTCTACCCCATTGGAGGCTTTTAATTTTATTTGTATGAATTTTCCAGGGTTTCATTAAAAATTATTACTGTATTTTTTACCTTAATGAAAGATTTTGGGTTCAAATATCTTTCTATATTAAAAGCTGATTGAGTCTCTCTACACATGTAAATTATGCCTATTGGAGGTTCTGTTGACTTTCTTCCCCACTGTGGAAGAGGCCAGTTTTGCCTTCATTTGCATATTCATTTCAGTATTTCTGATCAATAAATGTAACGTTTACAAAATTCTCCCTTGAGCTGGTAGAAATGCCTCACCAGTTTCCTCTTTAATGAATCAAATAAAATCTTTGAAGTTAAAAAAAATTGATTGAAACTCAGATGGAATGGAAATGTACAAAAATGACACCATTCTAGGAATTTGCTAGACAAAATATAGGACTACCAGATCAATATCTCCTAGACACTTGTTAGAAATGCACAATCCCAGGGAACACAGTACATTTGGCCACGTGTAGTTTATGCTTCCTTTTCATGGGAGGGCTAAAATTTAAGGCTTTTTTTCTTTAAATACACAATCCTTCCTTTTCTATGCCTTTTAAGGCTTCTAGATGCTACTCAGACTTTTTACAGCAGGTGCAACTCTATTTTTCAAGATATCTTAGGAGATAACACGAGGCCATTGAAGCCTTTCAAAAATATATTTTTATACAAATTAACACTAGAATGCAGTATACTAATGCAAATTAATTTTGGTGTTTAGCTTTTATTGCTGATTTATAACCGAAGAAATGGTACAGGTCACAGAAAGTGGGATTAGGTAACAACTACAACATGGAAAAACCATGTCTAAGATCACGCACTGCTAATTTAGGTTACAAAGCTCAAGGCCGTAACCTTTATATGAAAGTACTTAAACTTGAAAACTCATAATGGTTTGGTATCACCTCATTAGTATAATACAGTGGTTCTCAAAGTTTGGTCGTGGATCATCGACATTACTTCTTTTTCTTTTTCTGAGACAGGGTCTCAGTCTGTCACCCAGGATGGAGTGCAGTGGCATGATCATGTCTCACTGCAGCCTCAACCTCTCGGGTTTAGGTGATCCTCCCACGTCACCTTCTGGGTGGCTGGGACTGCAGGCACACGCCACCATGCCTGGCTAGATTTTGTAGAGACGAGGTTTCCCCATGTTGTGCAGGCTGGTCTTGAACTCACAGGCTCAAGTGATCCTTTTACCTCTGCCTCCCAAAGTGTTGGGATTACAGGCGTGAGCCACCATGCACAGCTATAATCACCTTCAAACTTACAAGAAGTGTGGATTCTTGGGTCTGAACCCAGACCTATGGAGTCAAACAGTAGGTTTGGGGTCCAGCAATCTATGGTTTAACAAGCCATCCAGGTGTTTCTGATGCACAGTAAAGTTGGGGGCCACTGGTGTAGTAGCTTTGGTATGGCAACTTTTCCATCACTTGTTTTATGTAGTTCTATCTGATCAATTGTGAAAACATAATGAATGTTGGAAATGGAACAGTAAAATAATGAAAGCCAACACTTATGCCTGGAAATATGTGCACCTATGACCAAGTCCATGAATTATACAGAAATTATGTGATTATGAGTGATGTACTTCAATGTTATTGCACATACACTTGTTTACTTTGTATGTTTGCAGGATTAAACTTTGTATAATCTTTAAAAAAAATTTTTTTTCACTATACAAGGTTGCAAGATGAAAATAAAACCTGTTTGCCTGATAGTTGACAAATGTAGCATTTATATTAGTAGTAAGTGAGGTTTAATCTTTCATTCTTAATTACTTTTGTGGTAGATATGTAAGTTATCTTGAGGAGACCTCTTTTGACTGCATTACTGTTTAGTTCTTCTGGGCAAATTGACACTAGAATGCAGTATACTCATGCAAATTAATTTTGGTGTTTAGCTTTTATTGCTGATTTATAACCCAAGAAATGGTACAGGCCACAGAAAGTGGGATTAGGTAACAACTACAACATGGAAAAACAATGTCTAAGATCACGCACTGCTAATTTAGGTTACAAAGCTCAAGGCCGTAACCTTTATATGAAAGTACTTAAACTTGAAAACTCATAATGGTTTGGTATCATCACCTCATTAGTATAATACAGTAAAAGAGTAAGTCAAAGTTACATACACCAGTCGTTAGTATGTGTCATACAATACTGAGAGGTGGCAACATGCTAGCAGCCGTCGCTCTCGGCACCTCCTTGGCCTCAGAGTCCACTCTGACGGCACTTGAGGAGTCCTTCAGCCTGCCACTGCACTGTGGGAGCCCCTCTCTGGGCTGGTCAAGGCTGGAACCGGCTCTTTCTGCTTGCGGGGAGGTGTGGAGGGAGAGGCGTGGGCAAGAACCGGGGCTACGTGCAGCAGTCGCGGGCCAGCGCATTGTGGATGAGCATGGGCTCGGTGGGCCCCGCACTCGGAGTGGGTGGCCAGCACTGCTGGCCCTGGGCAGTGAGGGGCTTAGCACCCAGGCCAGCAGCTGCAGAGGGTGCACTGGGTCCCCCAGCAGTGCTGGCCCACCAGCGTTACGCTCGAATTCTCGCTGGGCCTCAGCTGCCTCCCCATGGGGCAGGGCTCCGGGCCTGCAGTCCGCCATGCCCCAGCCTCCCCCACCCGCCTTGGGCTCCTGCACAGCCGGAGCCTCCCTGATGAGCACTGCCCAGTGCTGTGGCGCCCAGTCCCATCGACCGCCCAGGGGCTGAGGAGTGTGGGCGCATGGAGTGGGACTGGCGGGCAGCTCCACTTGCAGCCCCAGTGCGGTATCCACTAGGTGAAGCCACCTGGGCTCCTGAGTCTAGTGGGGACTTGGAGAACCTTTATGTCTAGCTAAGGGATTGTAAATACACCAATCGGCACCCTGTGTCTAGCTCAAGGTTTGTAAATACACCAATCAGTACTCTGTATCTAGCTAACCTAGTGGGGATGTGGAGACGAGTGCTAGCTAAAGGATTGTAAATGCACCAATCAGTACTCTGTCTCTAGCTCAGGGATTGTAAGCACACCAATCAGCACTCTGTCAAAATGGACCAATCAGCTCTCTGTAAACGGACCAATCAGCTCTCTGTAAAATAGACCAATCAGCTCTCTGTAAAATGGACCAGTCAGCAGGATGTGGGTGGGGTCAGATAAGGGAATAAAAGCAGGCTGCCTGAGCCAGCAGTGGCAAGCCGCTAGGGTCCCTTTCCACACATGTGGGAGCTTTGTTCTTTTGCTCTGTACAAAAAATCTTGCTGCTGTTCACTCTTTGGGTCCGTGCCACCTTTGTGAGCTGTAACGCTCACCGCGAAGGTCTGCAGCTTCACTCCTGAAGCCAGTGAGACCACGAACTCACCAAGAAGAATGAACAACTGCAGACGCACCGCCTTTAAGAGTTGTAACACTCACCACGAAGGTCTGCAGCTTCACTCCTGAAGTCAGCGAGACCACCAACCCACCAGAAGGAAGAAACTGCGGACACATCTGAACACCTGAAGGAACAAACTCTGGACTACCATCTTGAAGAACTGCGGCTTCATTCTTGAAGTTAGCGAGACCAATAACCCACCAATTCTGGACACATTTTGGTGACCCAGATGGGATTTTCACCTGTCACCACGTGGTGAGAATTTCACCTATCGCCAAGCAGTGGGACATCAATTATAGCTGAGCAGTGAGCACCAATGGACCCCTTTTGCTTGCTATTCTGTCCTATTTTTTCTTAGAATTCGGGAGCTAAATACTGGGCACCTGTCAGCCAGTTAAAAGCGACTAGCGTGGCCCCCTGACTAAAGACACGGGTGTCAGGCTTTCTGGGAAAGGGTTCTCTAACAACCCTTGACTCTTCGGAGTTGGGAGCATTGGTTTGCCTAGAACCAGCTTCCACTTTTCCTGTACTTCTGGGCTGAGCTGAGGGTCGACAGAGAGGAAAGCCATGCAGCTCCGGGCTCCTGACAAGAAGTTGGTTGACCCTGCAGCCATGAGTGGAACTCTCAAAAGCATGTTGCCCAAGCAAGATTCACTCATCTATTCTATCTATCCTGACCCTTGTCCCCTGGGTCCTAATGCCTGCCAGACAAATTTCCTCTCATCTCTCTTCTCTGAGGCTAGTCCTGCTTCTAAAAATCACTCCCTATCTCTGTTGCTTTTCTAGTTTCTCCTGTAAGAATGACTTCTAGTGTAAACTCCAAGACTCTGTTGCCTTCTTCAGGCACCCTGGCTCACCAATCAGAAGACATAATTTTTGCCCAAAGCCCCATTGTAGAGGGGACTACCTGGAATTTTAGGATCCCTCCTCAGACTAGCTGGCCTAACAAAAGCTATTCCTGAAGCTAGGCTATGAGGAGCCTCAGAAACTGTATCCTTCCTATTCATGTAAGTGAGGACAAAAGGTGTTACTCTTCCAACCCTGGAGATCCCTTCCCTCCCTCAGGGTATGGCCCTCCACTTCATTTTTGGGGCATAACATCTTCATAGGACGGGGGTAAAGTCCCAATACTAACAGGAGAATGCTTAGGACTCTAACAGGTTTTCGAGAATGCGGTGGTAAGGGCCACTAAATCCGATTTTTCTCGGTTCTCCTTGTGGTCTAGGAGGACAAGCAAGGGTGCAGGTTTTCAACAATGCCTTGGTAAGGGCCACTAAATCCGACCTTCCTTGGTCCTCCATGTGGTCTGGGTGGAAAGCTAGTGTTTCTGCTGCTGCGTCAGTGAGCGCAACTATTCTGATCAGCAGGATCCAGGGACCATTGGGCAGGGTTCTTGGGCAGGGAGAGAAACCAAAACCACAGACAGTTTTGTCTTTCAGATGGGAAACACTCAGGCATCAACAGGCTCACCCTTAAAATCCATCCTAAGCCATTGGGACCAATTTGACCCACAAACCCTGAAAAAGAGGCGGCTCATTTTTTTTTTTGCACTACCGCTTGGCCCCAATATGTTCTGTCTCTGATGGGGAAAAATGGCTACCTGAGGGAAGTACAAATTACAATACTATCCTGCAGCTTGACCTTTTTTGTAAGAGGGAAGGCAAATGGAGTGAAATACCTCATGTCCAAGCTTTCTTTTCATTGAGGGAGAATACACAACTATGCAAAGCTTGCAATTTACATCCCACAGGAGGACTCTTAGCCCTATATCCTAGCTTCCCTATGGCTCCCCTTCCTATTAATGATAATCCTCCTCTAATCTCTCCTGCCCAGAAGGAAATACACAAAGAAATCTCCAAAGGACCACAAAAACCCTCAGGCTATCGGTTATGTCCCCTTCAAGCTGTAGGGGGAGGAGAATTCGGCCCAACCCGGGTACATGTCCCCTTCTCCCTCTCTGACTTAAAGTAGATCAAGGCAGACCTGGGGAAGTTTTCAGATGATCCTGATAGGTACATAGATGTCCTACAGGGTCTAGGGCAAACCTTCGACCTCACTTGGAGAGATGTCATGCTATTGTTAGACCAAACCCTGGCCTTTAATGAAAAGAATGTGGCTTTAGCCACAGCCCAAGAGTTTGGAGATACCTGGTATCTTAGTCAAGTAAATGATAGAATGACAGCCAAAGAAAGGGACGAATTCCCTACCGGTCAGCAAGCCATCCGCAGTATGGATCCCCACTGGGACCTTGACTAAGATCATGGGGACTGGAGTCGTAAACATCTGTTGACCTGTGTTCTAGAAGGACTAAGGAGAATTAGAAAAAAGCCAATGAATTATTCAATGATGTCCACCATAACTCAGGGAAAGGAAGAAAATCCTTCTGCCTTCCTCGAGTGGCTACGGGAGCCTTAAGAAAATGTACTCCTCTGTTACCCGAATCACTGGAGGGTCAGTTGATTCTAAAATATAAGTTTATTACCCAATCAGCCACAGATATCAGGAGAAAGCTCCAAAAACAAGTCCTGGGCCCTGAAAAAAATTTGGAGGCATTATTAAACCTGGCACCCTCGGTGTTCTATAATAGGGACCAAGAGGAACAGGCCCAATAGGAAAAGCGAGATTGGAGAAAGGCCGCAGCCTTAGTTACGGCCCTCAGACAGACAAACCTTGGAGGTTCAGAGAGGACAGAAAATGGAGCAGGCCAATCACCCGGTAGGCTTTGTTACCAGTGTGGTTTGCAAGGACACTTTAAAAAAGATTGTTCAATGAGAAACAAGCTGCCCCCTCGTCCATGCAATCACTGGAAGGTGCACTGCCCCAGAGGACGAAAGTTCTCTGGGTCAGAAGCACCCAACCAGTTGATTCAACAACAGGACTCAGGGTGCCAGGGGCAAGCGCCAGCTCATGTCATCACCCTCGCTGAGCCCCGGGTACATTTAACCATTGAGGGCCAGGAAATTGATTTCCTCCTGGACACTAGCATGACCTTCTCAATGTTAATCTCCTGTCCTGGACGACTGTCCTCAAGGTCCATTACCATCCGAGGAATCCTGGGACAGCCTGTAACCAGGTATTTCTCCCACCTCCTCAGTTGCAATTGGGAGACTTTGCTCTTTTCACATGGCTTTCTTGTTATGCCTGAAAGTCCCACACCCTTATTAAGGGAGGGATATATTAGCCAAGGCTGGAGCTATTATCTACATGAATATGGGGAACAAGTTACCCATTTGTTGTCCGCTACTTGAGGAGGGAATCAACCCTGAAGTCTGGGCATTGGAAGGACAATTTGGAAGGGCAAAAAATGTCCGCCCAGTCCAAATCAGGTTAAAAGATCCCAACACTTTTTCTTATCAAAGGCAATATCCCTTAAG